AGTCTGTAGATTAGATGATAGGATATAGTAATATGTAACTGTTAATTGTCTGATTTGATATTTGTACAGTATCTGTGTAAGATGCTGGCCTGGACTGAGGAAACATACGAAATATTTGGGTAATGGGGCCTGGGCTCTGCCTCTTGCTCAGAAGATAAAATACACATACAGGAAGAGAGAGAGAGAACAATAAAACAAACTATAAAATGTTAACAACCAGGGAATGTGGCTGAAGGAGTTCTTCTTGCATTATTACTGTACAGCTCAAATCTTTCAAAATAGTTACAAAATAGAAAGGAAAAAAAGTCAATATCCTAGGGGGGAAAAAATGAGGCTGGAGAGCAGTTTGTGATTCGAGGAGGCCAATTAGACTCAGGCAGGAACTGCAGCGTGTCCTGGCTCCGTGGGAAAACCAGCTATCAGTGACAGCAGCGCGACAACTGGGGAAACGCCGACCTCAAGACAGAGGCTGTTGGATGCCAGGTGTGTCCGTGGTAATTTCCTGGGTGTGGTGGTCACATGAGGTCTTTCAGGAAAATGTCCTTGCTCTTCTGAGGTGCACACTGGGTTTTGGGCTAAGGGTCAAGCTGTCTATAACCCTTTCTTATGTGGTTCAGCAAAAACACATTTGTGGGAAAGAGAGAGAGACCATGTACTGTAAATGGGGGTGTGCATGGGGGTAGAGAGGGGTGATGGAATTTTTTTTCAAGGACAAGGACCTCCACACCCCTGCAGCCAAGGGCAGTGAAGGGGCCTGGGTGGGTGGGGCTGCCAGGAGGGGCCTCCCCCACCCCAGCCCCCAGCCTCTGCATCTCTCGCCCCATCTCTTCGCTTTTTTCCCTCTGGCCACAAGATGGCTCCGTGGGGACCTACTAGAAGGTGGTTTTCATTTGTTAAAGTTTCTAAGATGTGAATTAAACCATTGCCCTTTCTCTCTGACCAGCTGCTCTTTCTCCCACACTGTGTGACTGCAGATTTCTTCCTCTGATGTGCTCCCCCTGGTGTTTTCTAGGGGTTCTCCCAGCCCACTGTGCCACCCACCATAGAATCCCCCGTGAGAAGGTCTCTGCTGCCCTCTGGTGGTCATTGCCTACAACACAGACCCCACTCTCCTTGAGAGGAAGAAACCTGAAAAGGTTTTGCATCTTCTTGTCCTGGAAGAGAAATGATTGTGGGGCTGGCAAGTCCAAGATCCATAGGATGAGCCAAAACCCAGGCAAGAGCTAACACTGTAGGCTGGAGCCAGAATTTCTTCCTCTCCAGGAAACCAGTTTGCTCTTAAGGTTATGCAGGGCTTGTGTGCAGGGCCTGCCCCCGTTATCGAGGGTCAGCTCCTTAAAGCCCACCAACTGGAGATGTGACCACATCTACCAGGGACCTTCACAGCAACACAGATTCGTGTTGGGTAGAATGAGTGGATTCTACAGCCTGGACAAGTTGACAAAGCAAACCAACCATCGTAGTTAATTACCTGAAAAGATTATATTTTAAAGTGAAATTTTGCATCTCGAATTATGCTTGCCTGATGATTTCCAACTTCCACACTTAAACCCCCCCAAAAAACCTTTACTAGGCAAAGGAGTCTATTGTGGCTTCCAAGTGTGTGAGGAGAGAATGAGAAAATGGATGAGCCAGGCCCTGAGCTCAGCTGTCACAGGGATGGCCTGGAAGGTGTTAGTTTTTATTATTATAATGAGAATTACCTGCATGAGTCATTAACTGAGAGAGAGAGAGAGAGAGAGACAGAGAGAGAGACAGAGCAGGAAGGAGAGGAAGGGAGATAGGGGAGAAAGGGAGAGAGGAAAGAGAGAGGCGTCATACATTAAGAATCAAGTCAAGGCCAGAGATCACATGAGAGCTTTTCTCCCAATGCGCAGGGAGTAAGGAATGCTAGGCTTCAGGACCACTCTTCATTCTCTGGCTCAAGCAGAGATGTAAACCAATGAGGTGAGGGGGGAATGGAGCCCAGTAGATTCAGGGCACCTTGAAGATGCTAAATTCTGCTTGGAGTTTGAGAAGGGTCCTGGTGGGCTGTCCAGTGGGCAGTGGGCATTTGCGGAGAGGCCTGGAGAAGTGTGGTTGGGTGTGGCCAGTGCCTCCCCACCCACTGCCCCCTACCCCCACCCTGCCCCAAGGGGAAGAGAGGGCTCCAGAAGGTGCAATTGGCCTAGCTGCTTCCGGAGGGGCCAGGGAGTGGGAGCAGGACTGAGCAAGGGCATTGGATTTAGGGACTGCAGATGGCTTGGTGCAGCTGGAGCCAGAGGCAGGGGCTGGAAAGCTGAGTGGGAGGGGAGGGAACAGAGAGTGAGAAAGGCCGCTTGCTTGCAAAGTTCTTGTAGGAAGGGATGTAGAGAGAAGGTGTAGAGAGGAGGAGGAACAAGAAAGTCAGTTGGGGGAATTTCTCTGTAAGGAGGAGAAGCTGTTTTTGTTGAAGGTGCTGGAAGGAGGCTGCGGGGATGAAGAGAGAGAGCGGGGATGCTCCTTGGGTCAAGGGCCTGAGAAGGTGCCAGGGAGGGGGTCCAGAACCCCCCCCATCCCACCCTCCCGCCAGCAGAAGGGTGTCTTGCGCCTCCTCTGTTGTGGATCTTTGTGACACGGAGAAGACTCAGGGAGGTTTGTGTACGAGGGCACGAACCAACCAATAAGATAATCAAAAGTACAAGGTCCAGCACTGACTGGTGTGGCTCAGTGGTTTGGGTGCTGCCCCCCCAAACTGAAAGGTCACTGGTTCGATTCCCAGTCAGGGCACAGGCCTGGGTTGTGGGCCGGGTCCCTGGTTGGGGGACTGTGTTTGAGAGGCAACCTACTGATGTTTCTCTCCCTCTCCTCCCCTCTAAAAATAAATAAATAAAATCTTTTAAAACATTTTAAAACTACAAGGTCCAATCCTTTCTCTCTGGGAGCTGGCCTTGCAGGAAAGACAAGAGGAAGCCCAGTGTTCGGGGGAGGGGGGCGGGCACAGGGGAAGGAGGCGTGTGCGGAGCTGCAGCATTGGAGAGGGAAGAGTCCACTGGAGAGCAGAGGGGACAGGAGTGACAGCGGAGGCCCGGGAGAAATCTTGCTGGTCAGCCTGCCCTGCCGGAGGGTGTGAAACGCAGCGGGTCACATGGTGGGCTGCTCACTTTGGACCTTGCAGGAGGGTCCTGGGGCTGCCATAACAAACTGCCACAAACTGGGGCTTACGATGACAGTGACTTATCCCCTCCCAGTTCTGGGGTCCCAAACAGAAGGGTCAGCAGGCCACACTCCCTCCGAGGGCACCAGGGGAGGCTCCTTCCTGCCTCTTCCAGCTCCTGGGGTTGCTGACAGTCCTTGGCTTTTCTTGGCTTGTGGCCACACCCCTCCAGTCCCTGCCCCTGTTGTCACGTGGCTGTCTTCTCCATCTGTCTCTGCTTCCTCTTCCCTAAGGACCCAGTCATTGGCCTACAGCCCACCCTTCTCAGCATGACTCAGCTCAGCTGCTCACAGCTGCAAAGGCCCCATTTCCAAAGAAGGCCACTTTCTGAGGTTATGGAGGGGTGTACATTTGGGGGACACTATTCAACGCAGGGCAGCCCCCGAGAGAGGTGGAGCCGAGAATGCAAGAGGGGCTTGACCGGGTACAGGGACAGCTGCTGTGCGGCTCAGAGTAGGGGCACAGGAGCCCCTCCCCCGTCACACAGGAAGAGCCCTGCAAGGACAGGCAGAGCCTCAGGGGACCGGTCAGAGCCAGCGTGGGAAGCCGAGTGGGAGTGTGGGAAGTCTTATGGGAAGCTGGGGGAAGGGGCACCAGCTTCCCATGAGACAAAGCAAGGACAGCAGGAAGGGGCTGAGTTCTGTCCATATGTTACTCAGCGCCTGCCGGAGCACCCGGTGCAGAGAAGCGCGGGGAGGGGCTGGCATCCAGCACAGGGAGGCAGGGCACCAGGACCAGGCACTGGGGGGCCGCAGCGCTGTCTGGCCCCTGGCCTGTCCTTCACCCTCACGCCAGGTCATTTCTCCAAACAATGAGACAAGGAGACATGGCCATGGCCCCATTTACAGAACAGAAGACTGACACTCAGAGAGGCCAGGTCACTTGCTCAAGGTCACACAGCAGGACTGGCGTCTGGGATTTGAACCTGTATTTAGCTGACTCTAAAACCGTTGCTTTTATATATGGTTTTTTTTTTTTTAAGGCTCTTCATTATGAAAACCTGCAGACACAGGCAAAGTGAGCAGAATCGGAGAGCGTGTCCCACAGGGCGACAGTCACCAGGGCGCTGCTATTGTTGCTTTTCTGGCACCTCCCCCATCTTCCCACCCAGTCTCTTATCATTGTAGTGGTTATTAGTTTCTTATTTCTTTCCTTGAGGTGAAAAGTGTAGCTACAAGGATATGTACAATTAGTAAAATGCATTGTACTTAATTAGAACAATTTTATTTGTGCTGTTTTATTTTCTTCTTTTGTGTTATCTCTGTTTTCTTCCTTTTCTAACAATGAACAGGTTGTTTTTATAATAAGGGGGAAAACCAATAAAATGATGATGAGAATGTTTGAGATGTTCCTTTGGGCGGATGCCCTGTCCCCTCTGTTCAACTACAAGGCCCAAGATGCCCAGATTTACTCTCTGCTTTTCCACACACCCGTCCCAAGTGACCAGGTCTCCCAGGACTGTACCTGCCCTTCCCCAGGCCCCTGGGAAAGGACTGGTGGCCTCCTCAAAGGAAGACGGGTCAGCACACAGGGCCCACAAACGCAGCTGGGCCCAGGGATGAGTCCCAGGAAAGCTGCCCGAAATCCCATCCCTGCCACCCCCTGGGGACGCACAGCACTGCCCTGTTCCACAAGAACCTCCACCTTCAAGGGGCAGGGTTGGGGGGGTGCTCTGTGGGGCTGGGCAGGCCCTCCTCACCCACTGGGAGGAGCTGGCCTGGGGAGGGTTGCCAGGCAACCAGCAGAGTCTCCTCCCAGCAGAGCAGGAGTGGCCAGGTTGCCCAGCAACCAGGTGGCAGCGTCTCTTGAGCCAGGACCACGCAGCTGCGCCCAGCCCTGTCCTGCTTCTCAGGGGCCTGCAGGACCCCTGGGGCTTTGTCCTTATTCCCCAAGACCAGGACAGCTGGTGCCTCTGGTCACAATGAACATCGTTCTCTTCAGGTAAGCGGCCCTGTACTGGCGCTGGTGCTGGCCCTGGCTGGGAGGGAGGGAGGGCTAGGCTGGGTTCTCAGGGCCCAATGCACCGAGACAGACGGGCAGCTGGGATTGCTTGATGGGGATGGAGTTGGGGAGGTGGGGGGTTCTCCCACTCCCCGCCCACCTCAAGGTTGAGGGAAGGCAGGGGTCAGGACCACAGAGGCTTCCAGGATATGGTCTCCGTCTGCCTCTCCAGCGTTACTGCCCATGGCTCTGGGGCAGCCAGATTCACAGGGTCCATGCCCGACGTCCCTTGCTCACTTCCCCAGAAAACTCCGCCTCTCACCTCAAAGCCCCACCAGGCCTCACCCCGCTGTGGGGCTGCCCCAGCCCCACTCTCTCCAGCCTGCTTCTGTCACTGCTCTCACAGCTCGCAGGCCGCTTACCCTGCTGTGTCCGCACCTGGTTCCTCCGATGGTCGCAACCTCGGGGGTGTCTCTGAATCACCTGATGCGCTTTTTAAAAAATGCAGCCCCCTGGGCCTCTGGGGATTCTGGTTTGCAAGTCTGGGCTGGGGGCCCGGGGAACCGCACGCTTAGCTTGTGCCTCAAGTGGTCCTGATGGAGGGGGTCCCGGAGTCCCTGAGCAGCCGATGGGCCTGGTAGCTGTGCGAGCTTGAGCAAGGCGCTTCCCCTCCCTGGGCCTCGGCTTACTCATTGTAAAGCAGCGAAACAGTGCCTTACTTCTGGGGTAATGCATGCGCGGTGTTTTGCAAACCGTGAAGTGGTGCATGAGTTAGAAGAAGGACAAAGGGTCCTCCTCAGAGTTTCCAGCTTTCGGGATGTGATTGGAGGGTTGCACAGAGGACGCTGGTCAACTGGAGAGAGGTGGCGATGCCCTGGGGGCAGGGGTCCCTGGGGGGAGGTGAGTGCCCAGGGCCGGAAGAGGCTGAATTCAGCAGGTCCTTGCTCTTCGGCACACTCTCACTGAACCCTTGCCCAGCAACGTCCGACGTTCCCGCCCCAGGACTGGAGGGTGAGAGAAACCAAGTGCCATAGGGGGTGATCAGTGACCTGCAAGAAGGACAAGCTGAAGCTTCAGGGCTGGGGAGGGGGGAGGGAGGGAGCACAGGCCTTTCAGGGCAGTGGAACTGCTGTCTCTGACACTGTGAGGGTGGGTAGGGGCAGTGTGCATTTGTCAAAACCCACAGAATGGACGCCACCCTGTAGACCGCGGACCCAAACGTAAACCGTGGGTTTTAGTTAATAATGCCTCACTATTGGCTCATCTTTTGTAACAAATGTTCCCCAGTAATGCAAGATGTTACTAACAGGAAAGTGCGTGTGCTCCGGGAGAGGGCACAGGGGAACTCCCTGTACTTTCCACTTTATTGTTCTGTAAACCTAAAACCGGTCTCCCAGAAAGTGCTTCAGGGTTCAGAGAAGGAGGGGGATTTCGATAGCTGGAGGAAAAGAGAGGAAAGGGGGAACTTCAGAGGGAAAGGCTAGGGAATGAAGACTAGCTCTGCCAGGGAGGCGGGAGCCCCTCTGAAGGGTCGCGGGAAGGGGGAGGCGGGTTTGGAAACACACCCGCGCAGGCCTTCCTGCCGGCCACTGGCCAGCTCTGTGACCCAGTGGGTCGCCGTCCCTGCCTTGAGCGTTGTCGCAGGGACCTGATGCCTGCCATGGGCTTGCCACCCAGGAGGAAGGTGATGGGGGCGGTGAGCCCTGTGTCACTGCCCACACACCCCCTCAGGCCCCGGCCTCCTCAGGGACAGCCAGGTGCGGATAATGGAGAACACGGTGATCGACGCCGAGAAGTACTTCGGCCAGTTCTGCTCACTGCTGGCTGCCTACGCCCGGAAGACAGCCCGGCTGCGGGACAAGGCTGACCAGGTCGTCCTGCGGCTCATCGACTTCGCCAACACCGAGAACCCCGAGATGCGGGCCACCCTGAGGAACTTTGCTGAGGACCTGGCCAAAGTGCAGGATTACCGGCAGGCCCAGGTGAGCGGGGCGGCAGAGGACCGCCCGTTGCCACAGCCGGGTTCAGGAGGCGGGGGCAGCTCATCGGGGCCACAGCAAACAGGCTTTTCCTTGGGGGTGCCTGGGGGGTCACGCCTTCATCTGCAGGGCTGAGAGCACGGGGCTTTTTGGAGTGGGACAAGCAGTGGACGAGGCAAGAAGACCCAGGAAGCCAGTCCTGCCACTGTTGCTGGGGGCTCCCTGAGTCCCAGGCATGGGGCACATTCCAGGGGCCCAGAGGGCCTGAAGAAGGGACAGACGTCCTGGGGGGCTGGGCCCAGGAGATGGCAGCGTGTTATGAAAATAATTAAGAAGAAAAATCTCTGCCAGCCCAGAAAACTCCCCTCCGTGATTGTAGAAGAGAACGAAACAGCTGTTCTACTAAATGAACATTAAACCGGGCTCATGCACGTCACAGGAGATCTGACTAGAGATGGAAAGACAGAAACCTCACCGCTGTGCAGCCAGGCACTGAGAACCCCTCACATGCACATTCTCCAGACAGGGATAACGGCCTTCAGTAAGGGCCTTGCTCGGCACCTTCTGTCACACAGCATCTCCTAATTCCACCTGGTGATTGGGCGGCCACCTGGGTTAGCTAATGGTCTTTCTCCAAAGGAACAGTAGAACCCACATTTCCATGACAAGCAGGGGGTTACAGCTTGGAGCTGGGTAGCAGGGCAAAGCCCCGGAGACTTCCCGGATGTTTACATCCAAAGACACAATTGCCATTCCTGGAGCTCAAACCCTCAGGAGGCGTCTTTAGCTTTTAAAAAGGCTTTGATACATCTCAAAAAGATGGAAAATAAATTCACAACAAGTTCTCTAAAAGAAATGTTTTCAGGAAAAGGGAAGGAAAAGTCCCTTTCCCTTTTAGCACCAGGGACATTTTTTTTCTTTTTAGATGTGTGTTCCCTTACCAGGGCCACAGGCCTCCGTGAGGGAGAAGGAAGGGACTCATGGGATATTCAGCCCCCCCTCCCCCGCCCCTGGCCCATCTAAAGAGCCAGGTTTTCACGGAGCCCATCCTCAAGGCATCAGCCTCACCTGGACACTTGTTAGAAATGCAGATTCCTGAGCCACACCCTGGACCTGCTCAGTCGGAATCTCTGGGGTGGCGCCCGGCAATTGGGGTTTTCAGGGACCCTTGGGGGCACCCCTAGGCCTGCTCCAGGGTGACACTTTTTGATTCCAAACAACGCTGGGCACGGGGTAAGCGCTTAACATTAACTTTAATTGCGATTGTCATTACTATTACTGATACTGTTTACTAAAGCACCTGATATAATTAGGCTTGGCATGTGGGCACTGAAGCAGGGGTGTGAGGTGTCCCCCTCGCTGACCCTGCTGTGTCCTTGGGGGCTACATGACAGATCAGTCAGCTCTGAATCCCAGGCTATTCTGCGTTCCAAGCAGGCTTCTGTAGCCTCCCGAGTGAGGCCCTAAGGCAGCTTGGAGAACTCAGATAGCAGCAGGTCCCAGTCCTGTATCCACCTCTGGGTGAATACAGTCATCATACCCATTTCACAGGCAAGAAAACAAGGCTCAGTGACATGGAATGTATTGCCCAAGCGCTTGAGAGGCAGAGCCCTGGGCCCAGGCCGGTGCTCCCAACCCTAAGGGTGAGGGAAGGCGCCCGTGTTCCCCTGTGCCCCCACAAACCCCCCATTGCAGCTCTGTGCCTGCGGACAACACTCTAGAAATGCAGGCTGGAGGCCGAGGCGTCTCCAGGCATCTCCCTGCCTCGTCCACTCTGATTCTCTGCGTGTCTGTGCTCCCCCAGGTCGAGAGGCTGGAGGTCAAGGTGGTCACCCCCCTAAAGCTCTATGGGGCTCAGATAAAACAGACGCGGGTGAGTGAGAGCACTGCACTGTGGGGTGGGCGGGGTCTGGGGCTACCCGCGCCGGCGCCCCAGGAGAGAGCCCTCCTCCTTCATTTAGGCCGAGATCAAGAAATTCACACGCACCCGGAACAACGAGATCAAACAACTGGAAAAGCTGGAGAAACTGAGGCAGAAGTCGCCTTGGGATAGGCAAACGATCGTATCCTTCCCTGGAGTCGGGCCTGGGGCCACTGGGCCAGGGTGACCGTTGGTCACAGGCGTCCTCTGGTGGAAGCTTCTGGTTAACCTGGCTCCTTAACAGGACCTCTCTCAGTCCCAGGTGAGGGTCACATGTCGGTCTGGGGAAGGTAGACTTGCACACAGGTAATGAAAGACCTCACAAAATAGCGAGGTGAGCTTTTCCCTGGGCAGCTATGTGCCAAGGTCAGGGCAGGAAAATCAGGGGCGGGGGTCGGGGAGCTGGGCTCTGTCTGGCCATTGATACTAATCAGCTGGTTAGCAATCGCTCCCCTTGTCAGGTTACCTATTGAACACCCACACCAGGTAGGCACTTCTAGATGAGAAACCCAGGCTAAGAATGGAGACCTGCCCAAGATCGCAAGGAAGCTAAAGGGGCAAACCCGGAACTCAGTTGAGGACGCCTAACTCTAAAATCCAGGTTCTTTTGTGCCTGTGTAAAGTGGGGTCATATAGATGCCCATCACAGGAACCAAGGAGTTAGTTAATGAACTTAAGAAAGTTTCACAGGCAGGACATAATTATTGTCTAAAGTGGAGCGCCTGTTACAATAATAGCTCAGCGGGTGCCCATTGCTTAATTCTTACCAGTCTGCAAAGTAGGTCTCATCATTGTCCCCTGTTTACAGGCAAGAACATAGAGGCTCAGAGAGGTTAGGTGACTTGCCTCAGGTCACACAGGTAGCAAGCAACTAGGTCCAAGCAGTGCCTGCCCCTTTAGCCATGGTCCTACCCGGCCATTTCTTTGATGACCAAATTGGCAAGAGACCCCCAAGGGGCAGGGGCTCTGGCCTACCAGCAGGACAAGGAGCTGGAGAATGATCCAGAACAGAACTACCCCGACACTTTCTGTCCCTGGGGCAGGCGGAGACCAGTGTGCAGAAGGCCTCGGTGGACACCAGCCGCACCACCCGCCAGCTGGTGGAGACGGTGGACGCCTTCCAGAAGCAGAAGCTGAAGGACCTGCAGGTAGGGGTGGTTGCCGGGTGTTGGAAGTGCTGAGGGTTGCCTTGTTTGTGCCCATGTGTGTGCACCTGTGTAAGAGTGTTCACGCATGTGTGTGCGTGCGCTCGTGCCCACTCAGCTCCCAGCACAGTTAATCCCAGCCTAATCCTGGCCGAGCGGGCAGGAGGCCGGCTGCTCAGGGCAGCTGTCCCTCCCAGCTGGCCTGCCCGGAAGCCGACATTCGGCAGCCCTGCCCCCGACACACCCAGGCCCGGCTCCCCAAAAGGAGAACTTGGCAGCGTTTCTTTCCACACAAGGACCCACAGGACTTGCCCTGACTTCTGCCTTTTCTCCATGAAGCTCGAAATGGACAGGCACCTCCCTTGTTCCACCCAGATGCCGCCCCGGTGCAACCCAGGACCCTGGACCCAGAGCCCGGCTCTTACAAGAGGGCCTCTGGGCCTTCAAGGACAAGCTGGTCACACAGACCCCTGCACCCACGTGACATCCCCCGTCTAGTCCATTTTCCAAATGGCAGCCTCAAGGGGCTCACCAAAGGCAGCCCCAACCTCTCTCTCCTGGGGTAACACCCTCCTGCATCTCCCCTTGCTCCAAGGATAGAGGCCAAAGCCTCCCCAGGGCTCTGGAAGGCCCAGCCTCATCGTAGACCCTCTGCTCCTCCAAGCTCAAGTGCACCAAGCCCCTTGGAACTCTGAGTCCTTTGCACAGGCTGTGTCCTCTGCCAGGAAGGCTCTCATGTCTCAGAGAATGGTGCCTGGCCCCCCAGACTGGTCTAGCCCCATTCTTAGTACACTCTGCTCTGCTCCCTCTGGCGGCACTTAGCCCAGCGGGACAGATTATTTATATCTTTAATTTACTCGTTAATCTAACAAATGTTCAATACACACCTCTTCTGTGCCAGGTGCTTTGCCTGAGGCTGGAGACACCGTAGCCAGCAAAGCAAGTCCCCGTCCTCAGAGAGATGACACCCCGCCCTGCCACAGGCCCCCAGCATGCCGCATGCCATTCATTGGGGAGCGGAGAGTGGGGTGGAGCACGCCCTGTTCCATGCCTGCCTCCCCCCACGTGCCCACAGGGCAGACCCCCTGTCTGTCTTGTCACCTGCTCGGTCCTGGGCACCAGGTCCAGGGCCTGGCACTTAGTGATGCTCAGTAAATATTTGGGAAATGAATACATGAACAGATGCACAAGTGGGCAGACAGTGGTAATGAGCACTCAAGCGTCTCTGTTGCACGCGGACCTTAAGACCACCAGGTGACTGTTGTGGAGCACTTGGTGTTCGAGGCTGGAAGTAGGACTCTGTGGGCTGCCAGCAAGAGCACGGGGTTCTCAGCCTCCCTCCACGGTCAGGGGCCAATAGAAGCTGCAGTTCTTTAAACTTTGGGGGTCAAGTGTGTAAGGACACTTAACGAAGTCACCCCCTAAAAAGCCCTCCAAATTTTAAGCAATAAAAACCCAGAACTTGAAATAGAGGTTGCTGCCATATTGCTTGTAGGGCGCACTTCTGATGAAACGATATTTCCAGAAGAGTTCTCCAGCCCCCGTGAAAGAGTGTAAGTGACGCTTGCAGGCAGAGGTTCACGTACCTGAGGGCGTCGGCAGTCGCCTGGAGGGCTCCTTCGCTCGGCCTGTCCTGGACTCCCGTTCCATGGGCCTGGCGGGCTGGAGAGTTCATATTTCTGACCAGCTCCCGGGTGGGGCTGGTGTCCATGAGGGGAGCACAGGCTGAGAGCTAATTCTCAGAGCTCTGTGAACAGGGACCGCCCTGTCCTTGTGGTGCAGATGAATAAACTGAGGCTGGAGAGGATGTCATTCCCCAGGCCCCATGCCAGGAAATGGCAGGATGGGGCCTTGACCCCCACCTCTCGATTCACAGCTGCTCTCACCAGCACTGCCTGCCGGGGCAGGAGGGGAGGAGACAGGTACTTCCATCAGCCTTGGGACCCTCTCCTGTTTTCTCCTAGGCTGCCTTGCAGGCTCCTCCAGCCTGCCACCCCCCGCCCCGCCTCCCCCAGGTGCTTTCCATGTTATCCAAAGCGGTGTGTTTCCAAACCACAGGCCCCTCCCCTGGCACCAAGCATGTGTCCTGCTAGGGCCCTGAACATAGTAGGAGCTTTTGCTGAGCTCCAAACACAAAGGAGCCTCTGCTGGGGCCTGACACACAGTAGGAATCTCCTCTCAGGCCTGGCACATAGTAGGAGCTTGTACCAGGCTCTGCACACAGTAGGAACCCCTGCTGGGGCCGAAGGGGCAGTAAGAGCTTACTGAGCCAAGCTGAACCATCTGATCAAGAGAAGCCAACATTTGATTCTATTGTGATGAGCTAACTCGTCAGGTTGTGGGGCCTCTTGGCTGAGCAATGTCTACCAGCCACACCCTGCCCTCTCCCAGAAGGCCCACTCACAGCCCACTGGTGGCAGAGGCTGAATGAAGGTTTGAAGCCATCAGCCTGCCGACACTTGTCCTCAAAATGAAAGAAGCAAAGGCTGAGTGGCTGTGCACCGGGTGATGGAGCTGAGGAAAGGACGCCCCTCAGAGAGTCCTTTGTGTTTCTAGAATAATCCCTGTGCAGGGCAGCTTTAGATAGGAATGCATCATCTGTTCAAACCAACAAATTAAAAATAACATTGACCTAGAACCTGTCCTCGTAAGGATGACTAACCCCCCTCACCCCCTGTTTGTCCACATGCAAGGTGCCCCACCTCGCCGCCTCCTGACAGTGTTGCTTACGTGACTCACGCTTCTCGCCCCATAGAAAATTTTTCTGGACTTTGTGACCATTGAGCTGGCATTCCACACCAAAGCGGTGGAGGTGTACTCCAGCGCCTTCCCGACCCTGCAGAACTGCGACCTGGACAGGGACCTGGAGGTAGGTCGCAAACACCCAGGCTCTGCTCGCTGGCCTGGGGCCGAATTCGACTTGCATTCTCTCTTCATGGAAGCGGTTTTCCTTGGCAACATTTTGTAATTTTTATAATTTTAAAGACTCATTCTGATGAATTGATTAAAACAGGGACCCCCAATCCCCGGGCCTGGGACTCCTTGGCCTGTTAGGAACCTGCCTGGAGCAAAGTTCGCCTGTGCTCCGCCTCCTGTCTCCTCCCCCCATTGCCAGCGGGGTGGTGGGGGGCGAGCAAAGCTCACCTGAACCTCTCATCTCCCCCAGCCCCCAGACCACTGGTTTAAAACATCTGCCTCTTGGTGCCAAACCTAAAGGTGGGGAATTTCCAAACACTCTCTCTGTGTCTGTCATCCTTGGGTGTTTAAAAAACAAGGGAATGAATCAACAATGACTAAAAGCCTCTCCAGGCTGATGCTTGCTATTGTTTGGATGTTCAGGAGGTGCTTGTTACTCCATCTGAACTGATGAAAACCGAGCATCTGCTGTCTGAGTGACCTATGACACACCAGGCCACGCCCAGCGGTGTGAAACCCTGCGGCACACGGTGCCACACCTGGTGGTGTGAAACAGCAGTCACTTGTGGGGATTACCTTTCGTGGCTCTGGGGTTGGTGAGCTTGGCTGGGTGGTCCTTACTTAGGTCTTTCTTCAGTTTTCGGTCAGTAGCTGGGGCTGGGTCCCTTTCTAAGGCTTCCTTTCCATCATGTCTGGCAGTTGATGGCTGTCATCTGGGTACAGGGCATGCTCGTGGTTTGCAGAGATCAGTGCAAAATGAAAATGTGGACCTTCTGGCTGACAACGATGAAAAATTTCAAGACTGTGACAGTGGGTTCCTTCTGAGCTGAGGGTCCTGGACAACTGCAGGGGACACACACACAAAGCCCACCCTATCTGGGTCCTGGAGCCTGAATACCTACCTGCCCATGAGCTCTCCAGGCGGCACGGGCCTCACAACATGGCGGCTGGTCTAGGAGCAAGCATCCATCCCTGCTCAGGGCCAGAAGGAAGCTGTATCACCTTTTATGACCTAACCTTAGAAGTAACTTAGTGTCACTTCTGCTGCATTCTATTCTTAGAAGTGAGTCACTAAGGCCACATTCAGTGGGAGCAGAATTATATTCCAGCTCCTAATGGGGGAGGCTTGCCAAGGAATTTGTAGCTCCAATGGGCTTTGGTGCATTCACCCATCTCTGTGATACTTCTTTCGGGATGAGAGTGATCTCTAATTTCCTGTGTGACTCTGGACGTATTACCTAGCTTCTATGGGCCTCAGTTTCCCCATCTGTAAAACAGGATGATAAGGCCCACTTGCCGGGCTGTTGCAGATCATGTAGGATAATGAACAGGAGGTTCCCAGATAGGTCGATGCAGGTGGGGGCTCAGGCAGTGTTCACTGCGTCATCCACCTTTCCATTCCCAGCCTCTGTCTTTGTTTCCCTACTGGCTCTAACCCACCTGAGTCTCTCCACGGCAGGATTTTCGAGCCAAGATGCGCGGAGTTTATGGGCATTACGACGCTCGGCTCCTCGTGGATACCACCCCCTCCGTGGCCGTTCCGTGGTCTCTCCCCGGCCAGGTGAGCACTGGGGATGGGGCTTTTAGACCTGTGACAAAGTGGAATGACTCGGGAAGGCCGTCCGAGAACACGGGTTTGAAATGAGACGCTGGGGAGGAGGCGCTGTCGGCGAGTCTGACCTGGACTTGCCTGGAAGATGAATCAATAAACCATGGAACCCAGTGGTCCGGCCAGGGCGTGTCCTGAGCTCCCCCTAGAGGCAGGATGCTGTAGTGTGCACTTGAGTAACGAGGCCTCTGGATGGTCCCCTTCTGCGCCACCTTCCTTCCCTTCCCCCGCCCCTGCCCTCGACCTCTGTGGGTTTCAAAAGTCAGCATTCAGGGAAGTCACATGGCGCATGTACTACGTGTGACCTCACGAACCGAGCGAGGCCTGTGAATCAGGCACATTTATATTTCTGCAGGGAAACCTCTTAGTACTAGACTGAGTAGCATAAAAAAATGGAAGCAGCCTTATGCCAGTAGGGTAGATTCAGTCTCCCAGCGGGTGGGGGAGGAAAGGGAAGCTTGTCCCACAGTGTGTGGAGCAGGTAGGGGGTGTCCCTTGGCTTTTGAGTAGTTCTTTCCAAAGGGGGTGGAGGAAGTATGGCCCCAGCCAGGATGACTGATTCCAAACCCACCGCCCCCAAGCTGAGAGACCTGGGAAAGTTTCTTACCCTCTCCATGCCTTACATTCTTCACCTGCACAATGGAGCTCATAACAGTACCCGTTAGTGGGTTTGTGGTATTCGGTGGGCAAATCTGCACAAAGCACTTAGAAAATGCTCAGCACTTGTGGCTGTCGTTATTATCATTAACGTGGTCACTGTGATAACTGTGACGACGATCATTACTCAGCCTGCTCAGAGCACCATCAGGAGCCAGAGGAAAGAAGAGGAGGAGAGTGAGGACGAGGCGGCCGAGGAGGACCTGGAGGCGAGCCTTGGGGGACGGGGCAGGCGCGCCAGCCACAGGACCAGAGCTCCCCAGTCAGAAAACTAGGGGCCAACCTGCTGTGTACCCTCAGCAAGTCAGGTGTCCTCTGAGCTTCAGCTTCCTCTTCTGTACAACAGGGACAACATCACTTACCTCCCAGGTCGTTCAATGTGCCTAGCATGGTGCCTGGTGCATGGCAGATGTTCAATAAACGTGGGGTGCATCCCAACCTGACTTGTGCTGACTCTCGTATTCCACCCATGACAGGGGACTCGGGTGCTTAAACTCTGTGTGTGTGTTGGTGTCCAATTTCCCTCTTTCTGTAAGGACACCAGCCCCACGTGAGTAGAGATCTGTCCTATCCAGTATGACCTCATCCTAACTAATTACAAATAAGAGTCTATTTCCAAATAAGGCCACATTCTGAGGCCCTGGGGTTGGGACTTTAACATGTTAGTTTTGGGGGCGAGGGTATGATTCCTCCTGTAACACTTGAACAGGGTGTGCAGGGATGCTCTCAGGCCTGGGGACGCCACAGAAGTCCGGGGAAGTGGAGGGTGGTGCAGGTAAAGGAGGGGGTGGGTACGTGATTCTCTCATCAGCAAAGTCGGGCACACAAACTTTCCTCATAGGATCATTGCAGGATTAACATCCTCACCACTCTGATTTTTATTACCCGCAATCCAGGTCCGTGACACCTCCACAGGGAGGCACTCCTTGATTCCACCCCAAAGACACTCCAAAAATAACTAAAGCATTCTATATTTTCTATATAATAGATAACTTATAAAGTAACATTCATAGATTATATATTACATAGTCACATTTTGACTATATATTTTATCTCATACTTCAAACTGTAAACATATACATACACATATAACTGTACTTCTTTAAAACCTCAGCTTTGCCCCAATCCCACTGAGAGTTGGGAAAATAACTTTGCTTATTCATCTGGTGGTCCTGGAGCCTGATGGTCCCTGGTACATAGTAGGTGCTCATTAAATGTAAGCTGACTGTGCAAGGGGCCTCCCCCATCACACCCAGAGAACAACTGTCTTAAGTGCAGGATTGGACAGTTGCCTATGAGCCATCCTCACCACTGGGAGTCACTTGGGAAGTGGCAACAAAGTGTCTAACTTCTCCTTTTTGGGGCCCCAGGAGGTAGGAGGTGGGCTGGGCAGGGATGGAAGCAGCATGACTTTTGGGGTCTCTCCGAGCCACACTGGATTGGATGGTCGTCCTGCCTTTGCATCCCTTGCTTTGTCCTCCTCATCACTGAGCACACTCGCCCCATTGCCACCGCCCCCCACCCCAGGCAATCAGTGCAGATATTTTAGTATGGGAGAAAAGAGAAGTTCTTGTGACATTAAAAAATGGCTTCAAGAATAAGACCCTTGTCCCACATATGGGAAGAGGAGAGATGCCTCTTTAGAGGAGCATTTCCAGCACGGTGGCAGGGAGAGCCTGGTGGCAGGCTGCAGACAGGAGTGCGCAGCGCGGATCTGAGGAGAAAAACCATCACTCAGGTTGTTCCAGAAGTGTAAATGCAGTGCTAACCTCTGATAAAGGCAGAAGTAAAAGGTTGCAACTTGCAAAGTAACACCATTTGGAAGCTTAGTTGTTTACGTTTCTTTTATATTTAATTTGTGAATTTTGAATAATACATTTTAAACTTGTTCCTATAAAATTTAAACAAAAAACTTTGGTTCTTTTTCTTTCCTTTGTCTTCCTATGGGTTCACCTCCCTGGGTTTATTCCTCATCAGGAGAACGAGGGAATGGGTCGGACAGTGATAGGCACAGCTCTGCCATTTGCAAAATATGTTTGCATACGCTGCACTCGATTCTCACAGGAACCTTCTAGGATGGGCGGTGATTTCCTTCCCCTGTTACAGTGAAGAAACAGAGGATCAATGATTCGGCAGAAGGTTATGGGGAAGATGGAACGGGGCCCGAGCCTACGGCCCAGCCCTGCTCTGCAAGGTTCTGCCGCCTGTCTCGGGGCCCTTCCCCGCTCCCTGGAGTTGCCTCTGAGTCTGGCCCTGGGCCGCTGCGGCTGGGCCCCTCCTCGCACCTGTGGAAACATGAGATGTGATGTCTGAGCTGAGGGCATCTGGTCGTCCCTCCATGTTTGGGTAAGAGGGAGCGGGGTTCTCAAGACTGGGTGGGAGAGCTGGGGACATGGAGGTTGGCCCCCACTCCACTGAGCACAGGGTGCATACCTCAGCCCCTGTCAGACACTGGGGGGGGGGGGCAACCAACCCGCCCCCGGGCCCCCTCAAGCGGAGCCTGCTGCTTCAGGCTCTGGCACCAGACGGCTCCTGAGAGCTCTTTACCCAGGCCCTTTGCAGCTCCTTAGCGTCTCCACCCACACCTGTTTAGGCCAGAGTGTTAGAGCGGGGCTGCTGACTTCTTACAGTCAGGAAGAGAGAAAGCCCAAATATTTCATAAAATGTACCTTTCAAACCAAGTTGAAAGGACCCATACAGGCATCCTGTCTGTATTGGGTAGGAGCTGTGATCAGTCTCCATTCACAGCCCCCCCAAGCCCCCAAGAGCAGGAGGCGAGCAGCTTGGGCTCAGAGGAGAGGCAGGATCAGGATTCCAGCTGGCAGGGGCCTGAGGCAACCTGGGGGTCCCGGCCTGACGTCCAGCCCGGGGGGCCACCCAGCCACTGAGACATGCCCCCCAGTGCCAAAGCCCGGGCTCCTTGTCATTCAGAGGGATGCTCCTTTTCTTAGCATTTTCCATGAGACACATACACTGGGACAAGACCTAAATGCTCACCCTAAATGGCGAAAACATCTATTTGACCCCAGAAAAAGCCACTGGTAGTATTGAGAAGAGGGCGAATTCCATAAAAAGCCCTCATGGGTATGTGAAGTCAACAATTAAACAGGCTTTTTTTTCTTTGAAGATAATTTATTTCAGCTTCCACCTTCTGACAATCTCAGGTGCAATATATAGACATTCTCTTTCTTCACAGGAAGAAACGGTGCTTGATTTTAGCACCGTTCTGAGATCCCCAACCTTGAAACTTTCTCAACCTTAAAATACAGTTTGTAGAGCATCACCTGGGGGGACACAAAATTGTGTAACTGTAACACGAGCGAGCCCTGCCCCACTGAACTCCACTACAGGCGGCGTCTGGTGGCAAGTTTAGGTCTGGGACACACCGGGATGAGAGAGCAGAACGGACACATGTGGACCATCCCTCAAAGCCCCATAGGAGCCAGTTTCTAACAAAGGTGGCCAGTTGGCCGTGTTCTAACACATTTCCGTATTTTGAGGGGATCTATGCCTGATGTTTGCATTTCTGGCATTTTCTAGGGTCCGCATGCTTGGCGTGTCTTTCTCAAGGCATCCATGTGAAGGGGCAGCCCCGGGCCCGCGCACAGCTTCGTGGGCAGGCGCACCGAAGCCACGCCCTCTCTAGCACAGGACAGAGGTCAAGGCCTCCGAGCACTCCCCTTTCCCTTCTCACAAGCACGTTGCCCAGGGCCAAGGAGAGCGCAGGCCGCCCCCACTCTAGGACTGACCCCAGGCAAAAGGGGTTTACCAGCAGGAGCCCTCTTTCTAAAGTGAGCCCCCCAGGCAGGAGCAGCTCAGAGGGGCTCCAGGTCAGGGGGCCTCGTCTGACTCAGCCTCGGCAAAGCCTGGAGCCGGCAGGTGAAGCCAGGACCTGGCTCTCCGCCGTGGCAGGTGTCCTGGGAGAGCCGTGTGTGTAAGTGATGGAAAGAAGCGCAAACCCAGACCGTCCCGGCTCTCTCGCTCCTGAAAATGACGAGTTTCCCACAGTGGCCAAGAACCGGGCACTGGGAGCACTGCCCCACTTGAGTCCTGGCGACCCAGCCAGCTGGCCAACTCGGGGACGTGGGCTAACACCAGGGTACCCAGGACACAAAGCAGGCTGGGCCCTGGGGTGCTCCCTCCATCTCTCCTGAGGAGTCTAAGATATGTGGGCCCAGAAAGGGCAAGGGAGACCCAGGCCCAGAATGAGGCCCCACGAGAGCCTGCCTTGGTCTGAGCATCGACTGTATTCAATGGATGTGAACAATCTGGAAATGATGCATCCATTTGTCTGTCATCTGGAGAACCAAATGCCCCTATTCCCAGCCACGTGGGGATGAAGGCGTGCTGGTCCTGTCTGGGGTCTGAACTTGCACGCTACTCAGTTCGGGGTGCTTCCACCCAGCACAACTTCCCTTTCCTGTGAGACTTGGCTGAAAGCTTTTCAAGTAAACCTCATCCCCGAGAATCATCAAAAGGAATAAATGACTTACAGAAAAGCAGGTGAGATGGCTGAGCTGAAGAGCAATGGCTCAGGAAAACCAAAAGGCAGGGGGGCGGGGAGGGGGGGCGGGCATGGGAGGAAGTGAGAAAATCATCCCTGGAGCTGAGGGTCTATAGGGGCCGCCACTCAGCAGTTTCATCTGCAGTTGAGGAAGATGAGAAAAAGAGAGCAGCCTGGGACCGCCAGGCGGGGTGTGGCGTGAGGGGTTCACTGGACCCACCTCCTGAGCCAGGGGCTGGGCCTCGAGCCCTCCTGCCTTCTCCCCCTGCTTCCCAAGCTCCCACAGTTCCGGGCAAAGGACTCAGTCCCCTGCTGCATAGTTGTCTTAAGTTCTGGGTAATTTGGTAACCACGCTGACCTAACCATGGCTCTATCCGGGTCCTCCCTAATTAAAAAGGTTAGGGTACAATAACGCCCAGGAGGGCCAGGCTTGCAGCTGGTGGCCTTGACTCCCGGTCACGGGCACCTGGGTTAGACAAAACCTATGGCAAACTCCTTTGTGGAGTGGACGCTGTACTTCTCACCTTAGGGGGCTGGAGCGTCAGGGGCCCTGGTGATAAAGTAACCACATACAGTGGTCTGTGGGAGAGCAAACCTTAGGCTGTTGCCTTCTCGCCACGATGGGCATGGGGAGGTCAGAACAGGATCCACATGCCCTGGCCTCTGCCCTAAGGCCATGTGGGCTTGCTGGGTTAACCCGAACACCCTAGGCTTCCATTTGGGTACAGAACTCAGGAAGTGGACTCCTTCTCTACTCCTTCTAGTAATCTGAGAGTCCCTTGGCCCACTTTTTTTTTCTTTTGGCAATAGGAAGGTAATAGTCGACTCCGTTTCACTGTACAAATAACTTACAATATCAGAATCAGGCTCTCCTCCCTTTGGTTAAACACACACGTGCACATAGAAGCAGATGCGATCTGAATACTAACATGGCCCCACTCCATCAACACTGCTACAGCTATAACAAAGGTTAAACACATGCAGGGCTGCATTTCAGCATCATCCTGTTTTCTACGCAGGGAACCTTTTACTTGGGAGAACTGTCTTTTTGAGGCAGGTGAGATAGCTGAGCTGGACCCTGAGGGGCAGACGGCAGACAACCTGAGGTGCCACTGCTCATGACAGGCCCTCAAAGCTCCCAGCTTGGGATATCCCACTGCTGGGACTGGGCCACTCTTCTTGGATGAGACCCAAAGCTTCCTTTACCCCATCTAAGGCTCCTGAGCTGATAGGACGGGCTGGCAGAGCTCTCTTTGACCAAAGTGTCCTGTGTACGCACTGGAGTAAGACAGCGCCTCACGCCGGGACCTCTGAGAGTGTGCCCTGCATCTGCTCGCCACCAGAGCCCCTCACGTCTGCACTGGCCAGGCCCCGGAGCGAAGAGGCCATGTCACAGGGAGGGCGGAGCAAACACCAGCGAGGCAAGCTGCCCGACTCTGCTCCTCCAGGTGACACTGGCCAGAGGCATTTGGAGGTGACATGCTCGGCCACAGGAGCTGCCAACAGGAGATGGAGCAGCCTGTGATCCCCCTTGGCACTGGTCACACCAAGGTGGGCCCACGGTCTCTTGTCAGTGCCCCCTGTGGGGCTAAGCGTGATAGGCAGCACCTCTGGGTCAGACTCACTCCACTCTGAGGAGCTGGATCTATGAGGACAAGGCGTTGGGGGCGGGGGCGGGTGGGACCAAAGCAACCCTTTCTTCCTCCTTCAGCTGCTATTTCAAGAGTCCTATTGATAAAGAGAAAAAAGCTTCCAGATCACTTGTGAAGGTAAAGTGCTTGGAAAAGCCCAAGGAGGTCAAGGCTGCATTTCCTTCCAGGGGCTGTGCGCTCCCGCCCCTGCCCACCAGCACCCCTGGAGAGTCTCAAATCCACTCTTCTTCCTCCCGATATCAGACCGAATCAAAACTTCTACACAGACATCTTATACGTACAAGGATGTCTTTTGGGCACCTTAAAGTCTTAACACATTTCCACTAACTACTAAGGAATGACTAATAAAGCCAACGAGGGCAAGCTAAAAGGAGGGCCCCCATGCAGTGCTGCGGGGGCCTCGGACAAACCACTTTGTGTGGCCCTGATTTTACAGAAGAGGCGGGGCAGGGAGCACAGCAGCACGTCCAGGGGTCACGGTTGAACGTTTTAGGGGATGCATCGCCTGAGGGAGGTACTGGAGGGGGAGGGGCCCCCACACCTATCAATTTGATATTATTTCTCGGAAATGCACTCAGTACAGACATGCACCATCACTGGGGCCCACCCAGGGGGCTGGGGGCGCGGAACGCCCCAGCCTGCATGACCTGTCCCTGCACATGGCAGCACAGCTGGGCTTTGTTTAGTGACATCTCCAGAGAGGCTGATCACACACACACACACACACACACACACACACACGCACACACACAGAGTCATCAAAAATTAGCCAGGTTTCTGAAGCCCCGCTCCCCAGCTCTTCGGGCTGGTGATGTTTTGTACCACGCACTCAGGCTGCACCATGTTTCACGGCGCTTCTCTTATGATTATCCAGACGTGCGTTCAATGGCTCAGCCAACACCTGTTCTTCCCTGGAACATTCCAGGGAGGCATTCCACCAGGGAGCCTTTTTGAGCACTGGCAGGTTAAGTGACTACAGGCATGTATTTGCTGTGCTCAAGGAGACAGGAATGTAATGCGATTTCGAGTTGGAGGAGGTAGTAGGGAAAAGAGGACAGGAGGATAGGCCCCATGAGCCTATTTCAAGGTCGTTGCCCCAGAGTGACAGGCAGGAGGCAGAGGGAACCAGGCTGAAATATTTACACTGGCGGAGCCAGCATGCTGAATGCTTGCAGGTCAGACGTGCTTCCTTGGGCTGCTCTGCTGTGCCTGATATGAACTGAGGGAGCGGGGCCGTGCTTCCCAGGCACTGGGAGTGAGATGGGAGGGTATCGGCAGAGTCTGCAGGAAAGCGCTCCGAAGGGCCTGGGCTGCAGAAGATGAGGGCGCCTCTCTGAGGCTGCCATGGGGTGGAGGGCCCCACACCCCAAAGTCACCACTACAGGGCCTCGCACAGCCGCCACCAGGAGCCGCCTGTGCCCAGCTGTCTGGAAAGCAGACACAGATTTGTCTGTCTTTTCTGAAATAAAGAGCAGCACTGTTTGCTTTTAGGAAGGGCGGTTGTCTTGCAGCTACTGAAGAAACCTCTTTCCTGTGCTGTTCCTGGGACAGAGAGCTGATGTTCCTCCCAGGGAGTGAGAGGCGGGACTTCCTCTGCGGCAGCCAGCGAAGCCGCAGGCTGCCCCGAGCATCCCAGCCGGCGTGGGCGGCCAGCTCAGCGCTCTGCAACAGCGATGTCTCCAGGGTGCGCCACACTGCTGACTGCGGCCAGGCCCTCTCCCTCCCTCAATCAGGAGGCGCCTCTCTTTTCCTGGAGGTTCCTGTGACTCTAGTTCTGTCACATGGAGCAGGGAGCCGGGAAAAAGCCAGTACCAGTCATGGACCAACAACCCTCAGAGGGCCCACTGCCCCTCTGCCCAGCAGGAGCCCTGACTGGGGGAGTCCGTCCTGTCCCAAGCCTGAAGCGAAGGTCCCAGATCGTCATCCAGATGTCCTGTGTCACTGGTGTATGCTGGCCCATGGCTGCCCTTATCAACATTCCCACATGCACCTCGCCCTCTCTCCCCTGCAGGAGGCTACGGGCAGACACTGCCCCATGCCCGCCCCGGCCTCCTTCCTCTTCAGTTACTGACACTTGGGACTGTGGATGGTCACTTGGTTTTTGCCACCTAATCCCAGGAACACTTTGGCACGTGAATGGGGGAGTAGACACAGGCAGAAGGAAGGTGGGGAGGACAGGCAACTGGAGTCTTCTAACCGCTAGTTCTGGGGCAGCGTGGAGCGGCTCTGGGTGCTGCCGATGTCATGCAGGGTCATCGGGTAGGGTGACAGCCAGTCGCTGGCCCAGGAGAGCGGTGTGGACCCTCAGTGCTCCTGAGGAATGCCTTGGGCGACCTCCTGTGGCCTACTCAGTGGCCATCTGCTCGATGTGGTCACTCAGCAGCTTGTATTGCTCTGGAAGAGAGAAAGATGTTATTTTGGAGAAAAAAAGATGGTGGCACAGACAGGTAGGTCCTGCTCCTCTCCATGGGGTAGGGACAAGCCAGGATCACATCAGGCGTAGGGAGCGCAGGCTTCTGAAGGTGTGCAGTGGCACAGAGCCCCCGGCGCCCGCCAGCTGCCTGCCAGGCATCAATGTGCAGCCGGAAGCGGGCTCCTGAGGAAGCGGCAATACAAGGGGCGGGCCCGCAGGCCCTCCCAGGAGCGGGCGGTCGGCACGGCGCAGGCAGAGGGATTGTGCCACGCGAGCCAGGCCTGGGTCCGGGGGATGGCATGGGGCCACGTGGCAGGAGAGGGGACAGCGTCTTGAACTTTGCTGGTGTGGTGGGCACCCTCACACTCTCCCACCTCCTGAGGCCACTCTTTTGTAGCTCCTTTATTTTGATGCAGGATGAAGTGGTTTTTTGTTTGTTTTTTTGTTTGTTTTTTAAATATTGGTCAATCCAAATACCCATTTAAGTGAGAGGCTCTGGAGGACTTGAAGAAACGCTGTTGGTAGCAGGTGGGGTGATGCCTGACAGTGGGCCCCGCTGTGGATCAGGGGAGCTCACATCAGCAACATATCCCCTTTTGCTACGGAAGCCAGAAACTCTAGATAAACCTCCATGCCCTGCTTCCATGGCAGCGTCGTTTCAGAAACAGAGCGGGGCCATATGGTGGCCATTTAGGAGGGGGCAACTCGTGGTGAGTTTGACCAGTTTCAAGTTCAGAGTCTAAGCTCCAAGTTACATCTTTCCCTCTGTCCCTGAGCATCAACACCGAGCTGGCAAGCCCCCCAACCCCTGGCAAGTCCTTCCAGGCAGTAACGGGCTTCCAAAAGGCATGAGAAACACCTCATGCCTTTCAGTAGACAGAAACAGGGGAGGGGTGACCTAGCAGATAGTTTCCTATCATATGTCTCATTGAAATAGGGACAATCCTTGGAGCCGAGGGGGAAGTTCCAGCCTGCAGAGCGTTTGTTCCGACCCCGCCAGCCCTCCCCGTCTCTGGCCGTGACCCACCTTCGTCCAGGTTGCCGATCACAGCCTGCTTCTTCAGGAAGTCATTGCACAGCTTCTTGTTCAGCCCGAAGGCCAGCATGTTATGAGTGAACGTGCTGGAGGGAAAAACACCCGTGAGCTAGCACCCTCCTGCCTCCCCAGGGAGAGGGAACTGGGGCCTGGGCCCTTCTCTCCTGGAGGCCCCAGGCACGGCCTGCCTGGAATTGTCAGACAAAAGTTAAAAATAAATTGTTCCTTCGTCAGGCAGCCCACAACACTCACTGAGAAACTGCCCGCTACCGGGTGCAGGCACAGGAGGCGGATGAATTAGGAACTGGAATCCAGGCCAAATGTAATGAATCATATGCTTCGAGCTGTTTCAGACTTCACAGTTGTAGCAACACTGTGTCACGGATGGTGACATTGTGAGGTAGGAGTGTCCTCACCGTGTCTGGGTGTCAGTGTCAGCGCCTCTGCCCTGCCCTCTCTTTCTGAGGGTGAGCTGGTGCCAGGAAGGGCAAGGGGTTGGCCCCCAACCCATCCCACTCCCTCTGGGCCACGAGGGGCAGGGCCTTTGGCCCCCAGCGCTCTTACCCTAGCTGCCCGAACGTGATGTTCTCGTTGAACCGTAGGCTGTCGTCACGCTCCTCTTGGGTCATGTGGCACCACTTCTCCCTGCAAGCACAGGTGACAGGAGAGGGTGTTCAGAGCGCCACTGCATCCCCAACCACGTGCCCCTCCCCTGCTCTGACCTACAAGTGTCAGTGGTCCCCGAGCATGGCCCTCCTCACACGGGAGCGTTTGCTTGGCTTTTACACAACGCCCGTCCGAGTCCCGACACTCTGCCTGAGGGGCCCAGGCACACGCTTCTGTACAGTATCCTTCCTAAGAGGAGGAGAACCGGGAGCTCATACGCTTTCTGCCACTGCAGATGATGTGTGCTTAGTGGCTTTCTAGAACATTCTCTAGGAGATAAGGATGCCATTCCCCATGTCCTTCTCTACAGTTCAAGGATGGGGGGGGTCATGGCCCCATTTTACAGCCAGGGAGACCCGCAGAGGAAAGAACCCTGTGGTGACCCATGGGGGTGGACATTCAGACCACAGTGAGGAGGCTCTCAGATGCGAGCTGCACCCCCAGGCCTCGCTGGCTTTGGCGGCCCTGCCTTGCCGGTGGGGGAATGGCCTGCTGCGGGCGACAGTGCCCGGGAGGCCCAGGGAGCAGGAAGATGGGGAGGGCCCTTGGCCCACACGGTCCGGTCAGGCAGCCTGGGCCGGTCACTTCCTCCCCTGGGCTTTCTCACAGCTGACGCTGACTCTCCACGGCCCTCCCAGAGCGCGGGGCCCAGAATCACTTTCTCCCCTCAGGCCCCAGTGAACCATGACTCGTGCCCACCATGAAGGCAGCACAAAGCCTCCGGCACAAAGCGTGAAGCCCCCATGAGAAAGAGACATGGTCTGCGTGGCTCCGCGGGTGGGACCGAGGAGAGAGCTGCCTGCCTGTTTTCCATGGGGGAACACTAGCGAGCCCAGGAGCTGGGGTGGGGGGAGGGTGTTCTTTTGAGTGACATTAATTCTGTGTTCCTGCATGGCAGCCGTCCTGTCGGCTCCCTGCAGTGGACTCCCTCCCCCTCTCCTTGTCCCCAGGGGATGGGTGGCCGTCCCAGCCCGCACTACCTCATCCCCCATGCCTCCTGTGCCTTTCTGAGACGTGTGCTACTAGCAGGAGATGCAGATGGTGAGGAGAAGTCATTTTAGCCTGTTTCCCTTAAAAATTAAACTCTGGATGATGAGTCTGGCTTGAACAAGATTAAGAGAAAGATCAAAGAAAAGGGAGAGAGGAGGCAGTATGAGGGGCGAGGGGTTGGGATAATGGAGAAGCCAGAGGAAGAGAAACAGAACCAAGAACATCAACACCTCCCCTCCCCCCCTCCTGGCCCAGGAACACCCCTGGTGCTGCTGCAGCTTAGAGAGAGGGCACAGGATGTCGGGGGCACGGCCGAGGGGCGGGGGGGAGTGCAGCCTTCCCCTCTCCTCTTGCCAGCGACAGGACACCCATGGAGATACCCAGAATATGCGTCCAGCTCCCACACTAATCCCATCTTTTCCCCGTGGTCACCCTAGTATCGCCTGGCACAGCGGTCCCCATACTGCCAACGGGCCTGCCGCCCGGGCCCCGCATGGCCCCAGAGCCCTCGGCGTCGCGCAGCACGGCATCCCTGACTCCACTCCTCCTGACCCAGGTGAGAGGGTTGTTCTTTTCGCTGGGAGCAGCAGTAGAAGGGGACCTTCAATCTAACCTCTGAAGAAAGAGGTGGAAGGTCACCAGCAATCAGTCAATCAGGTGATGCCTACAGTCAGTCACATCGACCCCTTTAAACGGAGTCCAACACCCAACATCAGTCAAGGTCTAAAACTCACAGAGGGCAGAACGTGGGCCTGGATTGCTGCCGTGGGCATCTGGATGCGACCAACAGCCTGAAGAATGGGAAGACTGGCCAGGCCAGGTGGCTCAGTTGGTTGGAGCGTCGTTCCGTGCACCAAAAGGTGGCGGGTTCAATCCCTGGTCAGGGTGTGTGCAAGAGGCAACCAATGTTTCTCTCTCTCTCTCTCTTTCCCACTTCCCCCCTCTGTAAAATCAATAAAAACATATCCTTGGATAAGGATATAAAAGGAATGGGAAGCCTCCTGAAATAGAGATGTTCCTACCTCGGAGAGCAGAGGGGATGCTGATGGCATTGCCAGCAGTTTACCAAGGAGGAGAGACAATGTCAGAGGCAAAGAGTTGCCCTGGAGTCCAAGCCAACCCTCCTGCCCTCTCTTTCGGGTGAGGCCTGGGCATGTTTGGGCGTCCCGGGGGCAGGTCTGAGATGTGCGCAGTCAGACCACAGCTGCTCCAGGGAGAAGACCCGTGAGGCCCGGAGGATGGCCTCCGCTCTCCGGCTCAGCCCTGACAGAGGGAAGGCCACGGTGCTTGGGCATTGGCCGTGATGCTGAGGAGCCGCCCTCCGGGAAGGCTGGTAGTCACCCTCCCCCAGCGAGGCTGTAGGAACTCAGGGGGCTTTCTATGAGAGGAGATATTGATTGTGTCTAAATGCTCCTTTTAGAGCCATTGTAAGGCTGCGTAAGAAACAAGATTTCTCATAAAACTATAAGCACTAAAAAGATATCACTGATTAAGGGAAGCATGCTTTGGGAAATTTCCACAGGGGTGGGGCAGGAATCATTGTCTCAAAAGCAATATTTTGAATAGGCAGGCCTTTAACTCTAAAAATATATTACAAAATATGTCCAACAAATCGAAGTTCAAACCGTTAAGAGTCAGACCCCGCTGTAGGCTGCCAGGAAGTAGCCCGGGTCTAGGCCTTTCTCCTCGGGGACCCCCTCAGACACACAGGCTCCCCATTAGGCTCGGGGAGAGAGCAGCTGTCCCCTCTGCGTGACTCCCCAAACCTGCTGTGGTGGGCGAGGGCATGGCAGACCCCCGCACCCCTCTGGGCGTGTGGCCGCAGAGACATGCTCGGCAGCCGCCCTCGGCCTCTGAGCCAGGACTCCAGAGTGACAAGCGCAGTGGCAGGGTGGCTTTGAGGTCGGCCTGGAAGGGGCCGCGTGGCCCGTGGAGAGCTCGATCTGCCCGAAATTGGAGCTGACTTTCTGGACTTCACTGCTTTCTCCTCTCTGAACTCCCGCTGGTCTCTTGGGGAGGTCCGGGGTGCCTTATTTGCTTCCTGTTTTGGGGTGCTCTGTCCTTGGAGAGCTCTCACCCATCACCAGCCTGTCCCAGCGCTGGGCCTGCCTCCCAGGGACACCCTCACCGCTGGCAGCCAGCGCGGACTGGCACCTGGGCCTGGGCTCTGGCCCCCCGCCCGCCCTGAGGTGGCCCTGGAGGGGACCCCCGGCACTGTAACATGAACAAAGTCACGTGGACACACACCTCTTCTTCTCCTCCTCTCCAGCATCCCCTCTGGAGCGGCAGCAGAAACAGGTCAACAGAGGAACATGTCAAAGTCATGCAAGATATGTGGATGGAAAAAGAGAACAAGCGAAAGAAGGAGGGTTATTACAGGCAGAAACGGAGAGGACAGAGCGAGACAGGGTATTGGAGATCAATCTGTTTCCTAGGAGTCTGAGAGCTGAGCAACAAGAGGAACCCCATTCACCTACGAGCACCTGAGCATTTCCTTCTGTGTCGTTTCCCAGCAAGAGTGCGGAGTTCTCTCTAGAGTCCTTGGAAAGAGTGTCGGCGCCCAGCCCCCCACCACGTGCGCCCTGTGCCTCCCCAGGAACCGCAGTCACAGCAGCCTGCTGGGGGCACAGGCAGGCCGTCGCTCTCGTTAGGGGTGGTTGCCACCCGAGCAGGAAGATTCCATCTGAGATTCCCCTTATGCCAGTGGACTGAAGACTTCAACAGCAGGACTGCTCTCTCTCCTGCCAGGGACAAAGGCTAAGGCGTCTCCCAGTGTTAGGGAAGAGGGAATTCATTTTGTTGCTGAGGACAGTGTCAGGGGCTTCACAGTCCCGGGACTGGTGGGGCCCATAAGGGCGCCCAGGACCGGGAGGGCTGCTGCCTGTCCTGTCCAGCGCTGCGCGCAGCGGGTGGCAACCTTAGCTCACTGGGACCACAGAGAGAACGGAGCAGCAGCCCCATGGCACCAGTGCCAACTCCTCACTGCTGCCACGTGCTTTGTGAACTGCTTCACCCAAGGGGTCTTCTGAAGTGGCAAGACCACCTTCCTCAGGGAAGCCGGGAAGGGCTGCAAACCAGAGGAGTTGAAAGCGGCAATTGCATTTCTCCAGGTATTAAAGCAAAGTCTGGGGGTGGCGGCCAGCCCTGCACCCCAGGATCCTGCAGCAGTGGTTCGTGCTCAGGATTCAGACTTCTTACAGAGAATAGGCAGAGCGGTTCTGGGGGTCCTGACGGTTTCATTCGGTGGGAGTCTGCATTTCTTAGGAGGGTCAGGCCAAGTCATGCCAGAGCCCCAGGGCAGGAAGCGCTCATGCAAGCCAAGGATCCCCGCCGCCCACGAAGCTCTGCGCCCCGGACACTTCAGGCAGCTTGCAGGGCCCAAGGCCAGAAGGGGTTGAAGGAGAAACACAGACGCATGGACTCAGCCGTTCTTCGCTCTCCTCTTCAGAAACAGGAAAAGAAAGCTCTCCCAGGTCCTCTTCCCTGAGGAAAGCCAGCCCAGACTTTGCTCCTACCTGGTCGTGGGGGACCGCTTTCTCCTCTCACAATGGACAGCATCGAAAAAGGCCGCGTTCCAGAACCTCAGCGTGTGCCTGCGAGACAGAGACACACGTCACTTCTCTCCAAGCAGGAGAAACGGGCAGCCCTCGGATGAGGAAGTGCAGTTTCCCACCACATCTGGATGACCTTCTAAAAGTCACAGGGAGAGAGGGCCGAGGAGGGAAAACAAGTGTGAGCCTCTGTCCTAAATCAGGTGCCTCCCTGGGGCTGCGAGCCAAGCACCGTGAGAGCATCTGCATGTCTCTCCCAGGGTGACACCATCGCATGGGGGAAGGTGGCGTGGAGATGGGGAACCCTGGATTCTTCAGGTCAGAGGTGAACTTGCCACGGACAGGATGCAGGCAGAGCCCTTTCCTACTTCTCCCAAGAGAATTCAGGAGGTTTGGAAAGACCAGCTTTTCTAGAACAGGCACCAGTAACATAAACAGGAAGCTGGCAGGGATGTGCTGAGAGCAAACACGTTAACAGAGATGCACAGTACGAAATATTCCTCTTAGAGAGGATCAGGGGTCGGCAAACTACCGATTTGGTGGGTGAGCCAAATCCAGCTGCTGTCTGTTTGTTTCAATCAATGTTTATAGGAACATAGCCCCGCCCGTCATTTATATATTGTCTAAAAGCACAGTTGAGAGGTTGCCTGCAAAGTCTAAAATATTCATCACCTGGCCCTTCAGGGCCGTTGTCCTGTTGCAGCTGATAAGACAGACCCCAAGTTAAAGCTCAGAGGCACAGAGCTAAAATCACTGGCCAGGTGTGACAGGGGCCGGTCAGTTTCCACTTTTTGGGCTTCTTCTTGAGCCTGGCCCAGCTCAGGTGGGGCCTCCGCGCGGAGGCTTCTGGACAGCTCCAGCCCAGCCCTCTGGCCACGTCCCTCACCGGCTCTTCTCCCGCAGCTAGACTGTCATCTGTGGGGAAGGCGCATGCGTGATACCCTCTGGGTTCCAGGCACCAGCACAATGCCTACTGTGCGTAAGTAAAATACGGTGATGGAGAGGCTTCAGGGAGAGTAAAGTAGCACAAGCGATCATCCACAGAGCAAGACACGGTGAGATTTCCCCTGACCACTGGCCTCTCACTTCAACCATGGCCTTTTATATAGAAAATAGCTTTACTGGGATATAATTCATATACCATAAAATTCACCCTTTGAAAGCATGCAGTTCAGTAGTTTTTTAGTATATTCATAGAGTTGTGCGATTAGCACCACTATCTTTCCAAAATACAAGTGTTCTCATTGCCCCATAAAGAAACCCCATACCCATTAGTAGTCATTCCTTCCCCATCTCCCTCAGCCCCTGGCAACCACAAATCTACTCTGTCTCCAGGGACCTGCCTGTCCTGAACATGTTACGTAAATGAAGCCACACTACGTGGTCTTTCGGCCTGGTTCCTTTCACGTAGCCAAACGTGTGCCAGGTTCCTCCATGCTGCCGCAGGCGTCAGTGCCTCATTCCTTAATACGGCCGGATAATACTCCACGGCATGGAGATGTTGCATTTTGTGTATCCAAAATCAAATGTCCCTAAAGAGGAACATTCAGATTGATTCCACCATTTGGCGATGATGAATAATGCTATTATGAACATATATGTACAAGTTTTTGCTTGAGTACCCGTTTTCAATTCTTTCGAGTACATTCATAGGAGTGGCGTCACTGGGTCATAGGGCGACGCTAACGTTTAACCTGAGGAACTGCCAGATTGTCTTCCTAAGTGACTGCCCCATTTGACAATCCCACCAGCAGTGTACGAGGGTCACAATTTCTCTGCATCCTCACCAGCCCCTGCTATTGTTCGTCTGCTTTATTTTGGCCATCCTCGTGGGTGTGAGCAAACCTCACTTCTGACGAAGACAAAGGCGCAGAGGCTGCTGGCCCACAGGCGCGAGGGGGGCCTTACCAGATGGGCTGCTGCTTCAGGTGCGTGTACAGGTAGATCTTCTCCCCCTTCTTCTCCTCCTCCGGGCTGCACACAGTCACTGCGGGAGAGTGAGAGAGACCGAGTGTGGCTCTGGCTGCACCTGCGTGTTGGCCAACCCCATGGCGATGCTGCCGAAGCCACCGCTCCTCCCCAGAGGCCATAGAAATGCGCAGCTGGAATTGCACAACAGCTTTTCTGCTGCCCCTGGGCAGTAATGATGCTCCCCACACCCGGCAAGGACCCTTTCTCAGGCAGGGTCCCTGGAAGGCTCCCGCGGCCCCGAGGATACTTCCCTCAGCTTCCCTGGGATAAGGGGATAAGGAGCTTAGTTCCAGCTCCCTCTCCCTAGAGAAGTGGCTCTTCTCAAAAGTTCAGTGAGAAAACACCAGCGCTGAGAGCGGCTGGGGAGTCCCCTACAGGCAGCACCTTGCCTGCAGGGCAGTGGAGCCCCAGACAGTTAGGAATCTGCTGGTTGGCGCGGCTAGTTGAGGCTGGGCTGGTTGAAGACTTCTGCGGGGACCTGGGTTATGTGGACTGGGTAGCGGGAGGCACTCACCCGTCTTCTGTGGCTTGTCCTTGGGCTTGCTCTCATCCTCGCTGAGGGAGAGAAACCACAGCAGTGACCATATGTTCCCACCACTCTCTCAAAGAAACCACTTTACTTTGCTGAAATGGGATTCAGTGTCATAACCAATGTGGACATTTAATGTGGTGTTCTCTAAAAAAATTTTTCCATTAAATCAATGCTACATTGATCAATTACCAGTCTTAGAATTTAGACTACTTTGTGCTGTTTCCTCTGAATTCAAAACTATGTGGACCAGAAAAGGAATAAAGCCAAGTCACCTGGTTGTAACCAAGCCGCTGGAGGTGATGGCAGGGACCCAAGGGTGGCCGGCGCCGGCGCCGGCGCCGGGTCCAGAGCTCTCTTGCTGATGTGCTCCTTTCTGTGGAAGCTTTAGCTTCTACACGCCTTTTGCAAGGGTCCTGGGTTTCTATGGCAGAGCTGCTGTCCTAGGGACAGTGGTCCCTCCTGAGCCTGCCTTGTCCCTTAACACAAGCTCTTGCCACAGTTAGAGGTGAAAGGAGGAGAGGGGGGTTGTAACTTCCCTCCTGCCAATTTCCATATGCTTCTCATCTGTCTTAGAAAACATGGGTCCACAGGGGACATCCCTGCGTGTCAACAAACAGAACGGCATTTGGAAACCCTACAAAATTTGGGGGTGGGGGCAGGGAGTCAAGCTGTGCTGGCAGCTGCGCTTCTCGGGAGCAGCTCTCGGGCCCCAAAGATTGCCCAGGGTGAACAGATTCCTCCCCTACCAGGCCAGGGCCTCCCTGGCGCTTCAGACGTAATTCGACTCGGCTGTTTGTCACACCTGTGTGCCTGACCCTCCCCACAGTCAGACAGGGATGCACACCAGGCCACACTTACTCATTTTTCCTGACCAGGGGTCCCTTCAGCTTGGTCTCCAGCCCCCCGAAGAAGCCCTTGACACTCTCCGTGTTCTTCAGCAGCCGCTCGGCAACGTCCTTCTTCTCCGCTAGCCAGCTGTTGGCGGACTTCAAGTAGGAGTCGATGCTCCCTGCAGGCTTCTCCTTGGATTCGGAGGGAAGCAGGTGCGGTTTACCTAGAGACACATGGGGAGTAAGAACCGTGCTGTGCAGCAGCTATGACAGAGGGTGGAAAGAAACTCCTGTTAGCTGCTGGAGCTGCTCTGAGTGGCGGGGAGACCTCCTTCCACAATGGCTGGGGCTTGGCAGCAGGAAGGCTCAGAGGCGCCCTCGTGAAGACGTGAGCCTGGGCACCGCCTCTCTCAGGGCGGTCACTAAGTGCTGACCGTACCACAGGTCAGCCGGTGCCACAGGAGAAACAGGCAAGGGTCCAGCTCCAAAGAAGCACGCAGCCTGGAAAGGAGGTGAGCACCGCGCACACACAGTGAGAGCGTAAGGCAGCACTCAGAGCAAGGCCGGGGGCTGGAGGGAGACGGAGGGAAGTGTTTCCCCACGGTGGGAGGAGGAGGGTAGGTCCCAGCCCCAGCCCAGCGTGAGGGCACCGGACAGGGCGGGAAGCAGCTGAGGGAGATGGGAAGGGGGGGTGGTATCCTGGGAGGAGGAACAGCATGAGTGGAGGCAACACTGGAAATGGCAGACCCTTCAGGCCAAGACGCCCCCTGGGCAGGCCAAGGTACTCCCTACTGGTCAAAGGGCCTCCTCCAAACCAAGGTCCCCTTAGAGGTTGTCACCCCCTTACAGGTCAAGGCACCCACCCCAGGCAAGACGTCCCCTACAGGTTAAAGGTGACCTCCTTCAGACCAAGGTGCCCCTGTAGGCCAAGGTGCTGCCTATAGGTCAAAGGGCCCTCTACAGATCAAGGTTCCAAGTACCTCCTACTAACTGAAGCTGCTCTGTGTACAGATCTGACTCAGATAAGCAGCGTCTAGCTGCTCTTTGAGAAGGAGGAGCCACAGGTTGGATGAGGGGGTTCCCATCTGACCCAAAGACGGCCAGTGAGCGGCCCAGCACCACGGGCCCGCCCAGAGGTGGCCTGGCGGAGCTCAGGCAGCCAGACCAGCTATTGTCAACAGAACTGAGGGGCATGGAGAGGATGGCTGATGGGAGCGAGGAGAGGACAAAGCCGGCTGCAGAGGACAGGGGCGCACCCCAGAAGCAAACCTGTGGGTCATGAAGGGAGGGTGCCTTGACTTGGCTCTAGTCCATGTGCTGGCCCCCAGCAACCTTCTTCTTATGGTGGTCTGAAGGAGACTCTGCTGTAGCAGCTTAAGACAGGGAGCCCTCAAGCTCCAATGTACCAGAAAGTTCCAACAGAATGAGCTAGGAGAGCTGTCAGAGCCTCAGCATGAAGTCTACACCCCTCATGAAGGCATCTCTAGCCCACACCTGGGAACACTCTCTAGCCCAAGATCTCAGAATACTCTTTTCACCTCCCTGCAAGCCAATTCTGTCTCATATTTTGCTAAAACCTCAAACTGAAGTCCTTACAGGCAACAATTGCTGTGTCTACCATGAAATTTCCTGCTGAACATGTTCATTTTCTCACTTCCTAGCAGCCGGTGGTTTCTTTCACAGTGCGTGGACAGTCACTTGACCTGCAACATACCATGTCTCCTGCTTTAGGAATTTCACTCCTTGCTCTTTCCCTCCCTAACACCAACTTTCATTGTTTTCTGGAAGCCTCACAGCTTTGCCTTTACTCAGGAAGAAATCCTCATCTGATACCATGTTCGAAGTTGACAAGTCTTGAGTGTCCAGGTTTGCCTGCCACATAAGCCACGCCCCCATGTCTTACCGATATGGTAGTAAGTGAAGCACATGGTCATGAGGTTTTTGGCAGGTCCAAAGTCATCCATCTGATGACACCTGAAATGAGAAGCAAGGTTGACTGGTTACATAATTGTTCCATTTGATTGTCTTACTGCAAGTTTGTGAAACAAGACTAAAATACTTTGCAAATATGCTAAGTGAACAGCTCACTCCCCAGATGCTGCTTAGGAGAGGTAACAACCCCCCGCCCCCCCCGCCGCCACTGCCCCCTTGGCCCAATGAGGTGAGTTAGCCACAGGCACGCAGCGGGAGCTGGGTCTCACTCTGCGCCTGGCCTCTTCGTTTTCAAGGTGGAGCAGCCAAGGCCCAGGAAGGTCAACCCTACACACAGCAGCAGTGTCAGGCCTGGAAGTCAGGCCTCAGGTCTCAGGTCAAAGTGGGCCCGCCAGCCCCTGCTTCTCGGGAACTGGCCCTCCACCTGCTGCTGCTTCCTAGATGACATACTCCAGTCAATGGTTCTCAGGCTTAAGCAGCATCAGAACCACCTTGAGGGTGTGGGACTCTGGACGCCCCAAAAGCATGTGGTTTAGTAGGTCTGGAGCAGGCCTGAGGATGCGCATTTCTAACACACTGCCTTTGAAGCTGGTGTTCTGAGGCTGCAGGCCCAGGGATGGCAGTGGAGAACCACTGGGAATATGTAGGCCTTCCTATACTGTGTCACTGACTGAAAACCAGATTATTACATGTCAGAACCTTTTACACACTAAAGAATGTTCTACGAATATAAAGAATTATCCTGACTATATTATATTATGCTTACTATATTAAGATTTATATGATACACAGAGAGAGATCCACTCAACTTAGCAAACAAACAATAAAGGGAGAAACTTCACAAAGAGGGCCTGTCTGCTGCTAGGACTTTGCACCGTGACAGGTGCTGATGTGGCAGTGATGTCCCCTGCAGCACTGGGAGTTAGAGAAAAAAAGAGGAGGGATGGCCCCCATGCCATCAACAGGGTGTGAGCTGAATAAATTATGCTGCGTGACATATTACGGTACTACATTGCCATTGCAAATGCAGAACTGTATGTAAATGTAATGCCTTTTTTGAAAAAAATTTGCCGATATGTGCATTGTTATGAGAGGTTTTCCTTGGGAGGTGGATCTAAAGTGAGAGAAAAGAGTGTGAAAGAGGCTTTTCTTTTCACCCCAGGCTTCTGTGTGCCTCTGCATCCTATTTCCCTTTGCACTTTTCTTTCCTGTTTAGCTTTTAACCTTGGGCAAGCAATACTTTAAAAAAAAGTCAACAGGAATGATCCAGAAGGTGGATTTGGGCCACTTCTGTTGATCTTTTGATATAGAAATAATCTAATAAATTTAAAGAACTAAACCACTAATAAAACCATAACAGACTAAATAAAAGCATAAAAACTAAAGATACTAATAAACTTAAAATCATAAGATTCATATTTTAATAATTAATAAATATTTCAAAATATTATGAAGTTTTATATTATTTTGCTTGCAACCATACAAAAATATGATATATATACTCACAAAGTAGTGGGAAGATTTTATATTTTAGCAGGGTTGAAACTTGAATTTAATTTTTTCCCCAATTTTATTTATTTAGGGAGAAACACAAAGAAAATTGAGAATTAGATAAGTATGTTAACATGTGAGAGGCAAATAAATATACACAAACTATGGGTTCATGAAAATTCTCATAGATGCAAATGTCTGAAAGTTGAAGTATCTTCAGCTTCGGAGAGCATGTTGCACACAAGGCAAGCTGGGGGCTGCTTTGCACGAGCTCGCCGTGTGCTCCCAGCTGGGGCAGGCACAGCCAGATTCTCCCCACTGGGGCCGTGTCCTGAGCTTGGGATGGATGTTCTCAGCAAGTGCAGGAAACACACAGATCCTCAGCTCTTTTGATCGCTTTCCTCCAGGACGTGCATGCCCGGTGTTCATGGCGGAATAGGTGAGGCAACACCGAGACACAGAGGAATTAAGATGGAGGAGAAAAGCTACATTTCCATTGTGAGAAGGAAGGGAGGGGCAAAATGGACATGGGGACACAGGGAGGGGGCCATGATATAAGCCATGGGACCAGGACCTGCCTTGAGGCCACACTGCAGTGACGGGGTGAAGGGGAGCGCAAGTGACAGCCAGCTCAGCCCCTTCCCTTCCCACCTACAACCTGTCCTGTCCACCTGGATCATTGAAGCCGCTGCTTGGCTTCCCCAGGCTCAAATGGAGCCCTTGGATCCCTCATCTGGGGGACGCATCATCCGCTCTGCTGCATTCCCAGGGCCACGGGGCCTCCGGAGGAGAGCGCCCCCGCCCCGCCCCGCCCCGCCCCGGGCCTGCCTCCCACCGCTCCTGCCCCCCGCCCCGCCCCGCACTGACTGAGCGCCTTTCGGGACAAAAGGCTCCTGCAGTGCCAGATTCCTCCTCAGAGCAGGCTGTGTCATCCAATCATATCATTAAGGGGGCGGTTACCTAGTTTGCAGTACTTCACAACAGGAAATCAAGAAAATTCCAGGTCTCTGACTGAGGAGGGTAAGGCCAACTGTGTGTAATCACAGCCTGTCCTGAGGACCCGAGTGGAGGAATTTACTCACACCCAGCTGCGCTCCTCTAATCTCTGCTGTCAGGTAAGGCTTCTGACTAACTCCCTCCCACGAGATGCTGGTCCTGACTTCGCCTTGTAGCTGGGGTATCACAGCAACTGCGAGCTGATGACTCGTGCGGCTGCCACTCACAACCGTGTTGTTACAGGGCAGGGAAGGGAGGGGAGGACCACAGCATTACTTACTCGAACAGGACCACTGCAAAAGACTGCACCAAGCGGTAGAAGGTCGCCTCTGAGACACACTTGGAGTTGCAACGCTGTCCGGGAAGAGGGCAGACGCGTCATCGGGGCAGCCAGGCGGCAGAGGCACGCTGCAGCGCAGAGAGGCTGCGGGCTTACCACGCTGAGCGCCCCTCAAGGCAGCTGGGATGAGAGCCCAGGACCCTAACAGCCTCCCCTGACTCCCAGAAGCCCGGACCCCGCAGGTGCCACCCCCCAGCACTCGGCCATAGCTCACTGGAGCTTAGGCAGGTGTTTTCCTGTGTCTCTTCCTTATGAGATTTAAAAAACTAGCAACTTCACACACTCACCTGCACAAGAAAAAGTATGGAGGGACAAAACCCTTAATGACAACATTGGCTATTTCTGGGTTGTAGATTTATGAGTAGTTCGTCTATTTTTGCTTACAAGCATTTTCTAATTTTTCTTTGAAGAATAAATTATCTGTGATAAAAAATACTTGAAAAACTAAGTACTTAAGCCATTTTACAGAAAAAGAACCTACTGGATATTTATAAAATGTAATTCTTTTTGAACTTACAGGCTGTCATGGTCTTAAATATATCTTTAGAAAAACGGAATATTGTGGGTTATTTAATAAAAATATGTGTGGGCATAACCCACATGCTTGCTTTTAAAAAACAAACTGTTCTGGAAATTCACGTGGTGGACAGGCCAGCTTGCTTGCTTGTTCCTTTCCATTGGACATCCAAGTGAGCTACTTCCCCCTGTTCTAAAGGGGTCTTTTCAGAACATCTAGAGATAAGAGTTACTTTTGTTTTTTTCCTGTTGGGTCAATTCCCTTGACTCTTTACTTCTGAGTGGAGGGATTAAAAAGAAAGAGAGGATGCTACACATCACCAGCGCCCTCCCAGCACCTGCCCTTACCTGGGCGCTCACGAATCGAGCGAACCACTCCCGGCCTTTTCCATTCTCACTGCTGCAGTACTCCCCAAACTTGGCTTTCTCCTCTTGGTCCAACTCTTCCCTGAAGAAAAGAAAAAGGGCAGAGGGAAGAAAAAAAACAACTTCAAATCCTCTGAAACAAAAAAGGTTACAGTAGGGGGAAGGGGAAAGAAAGGGAGGGAATAAAATATTGCACGCAACTAAGGATAGCTGCCTGACCTACATCAGCTTATTTTAACCTCTGAGTAACCCCCTTGAGGAAATGGTGTTATTTCTACTTTGCAGATGAGGAGACTGGCCTGGAGGGTCCAACACAGCTGGGGAGGAAATGGGGGCTCCATCCAGACTTCCTGATTCCCAAATCCCTGTTTCGTCTCTCTTGTCCTCCTGCCTCCAGTTAGGTGGTCCAGGCACTAACAAGGGTGACATCACCGTCCTCTGAGGGCTTGGTTCTCCTGCTCATGTCACTCATCTCTGGTGCTGAAGCCAGCATGGATCCACCCACTGAACTGAAGAACGCCTCAGCCGCAGTAGGACACAGCTGTCTGACCCTCCTCCCACAATCAGAAGGCGGGCGTGGTGGCTGATTCCTCTGAGCTTCTGCAAAGCCAGTCTGCTCACCTCTGTCCAATGTGAGGGGTAGAGACTAGGGATTGCGGGGAGCCACCACCTCCAGGGTGGACAAAGTGCTCACTGATCTCAAATCACCTCTGGACACTCTTCATAGGGGGCCAATACTCTGTCCCAAATTTAATTTAATGACTACAGAATATGAAGTAGGGGCTGAAGCTCAATTGGCTTGTACAGTATTTCATTTATTGAAGGTTCTGTTGGAAACATCTTGGTCTCATTTATCCCCAAACACCAGATGAAATACAAGAATTTGCCAGCCATTTGCAGTGATTTTTGGAAAGCTCTTGAAAACGCATCTGATCCAGTTGTCCACGTTCCATATTGCTGACAGGCTGCCACAAATACAGACCAGCCTTCCTGGCAAACGAACAAGCTCCTGGGCTTTCTCCCCTCTGCATTCACTGGGTGTGCTCAGAGAAAGCTGACTTCTATCAGTGTTAGGCAAACACATAAGCAGGCAGCCACATCTACTGCTCTCCCAGAATGCATTCAGGGACCTAAGTCATGATAGAAAAGAATAAATTCTTTGCAGAGTGGCAACAGGCAGAAATTCTTACTGCTTTAAGGAAAATGGAAAATCTGCCCTTCTTCCGGAGCCCTTCAGACGGTAACGTGTGTGTGAGGAGTCTAGAGACCTTGTTCAAAGGCCGATCCAGGCTCAGCGGGGCTGGGTGTGGCCAAAGACTCTGCATTTCTAACACGCTCCCAGTGATGCTGATGCTTTGGGTCTACAGAAGACAGTCTGAACAGTAAGACCTTCAGCCCTGAACGCGCTGCTATGAACGGTGTAAGACTGCCAGTCAACCCCTGCCACCCATGAATTTGGGTTTGTTTGTCTCCCCTTGCCTTTGGCTGAGCTATTAATCCAGGCGGGCAGAAGAGCTAGAGGCCTGTCCACAGAGCCCCTGCTCCTCTGTCTGCATTCTAGCTCCCACTGTCACTTTCTGCTGCTCCAACTGTCAACACCCCTTACCTACCCCTTCTAGAGCCATGAAAGAAAGGCCAGGACGAGGTGTGAGGAAGAGTCACCATCCTAGTAGCTGCTTAAGGATCAGCTGCCTATGAGCATCCCAAGGAGTGTGGGGCACTGAAAACTTCTTGCCTTCTCTTGCCCCTAAATGTAATGTCAGCTAATAATTGCGCCCCACTAGCTAGGCCTGACTTTGACATGGAATGCCAGCCAGGAGCTAACCTGAAAGTGCTCAGGTCCTGGGAAAGCAACGCTAGTGTCCCGGATTCAGCAACGATGAGGTGAGAGTGACGGTGGAGTGGTCACAGTAGTTGTGGGGAGGGGAGAAAGGGTAAAAATTCCCCAGCTGGTTCTATCTGTCACCTGGGCCGGGGTTGGGGACCACGGGAGGCCCATCACTGGCAGGTGAGGGGCAGAAGTCCTAGGTGACACTGTTCTCTGGGACAAAGCCAAGAGCTGAGAGGCCCTGGGGGCTTACCCTCCAGAGAAGATCTTCTCCACGTAGCTGCGCATGAACTCCCTGAGCTCTAGGGCCTCCTCGTCCTTGGCTGACTCCGTGCTCTGGTTGGAAGAGAAGGACTCGTTGGAGGAGGAGCGGTGGTACTGGTCCCAGGACGGGTGTGAAGGCGACTCGCCCATGTCGTTCTCGCTGTCTGCTGACTCCGTGGTCTCACTCTCTGACGCGCCATCACCCTGGGAGCTGTCCCCATCCTGCAGCTTTGGTGGCAGTGCCTCCACGGGTGAGGAGGTGGATGGCTCGGTCTCGAAGTCAATGAGCGAGCCCACGGGGACCTCTGGGGCCTCCATGGCTCGGGCGGGCTGCCAAGGAGGGTGCCAGGTGGGGTGGCCGGAGATCCGGATTCCCAGGGATGTCAGCGGGAGCCGGAGACCAAACAGGAGCCTGCCGAGCACGTGTGAGTTTCTTGGTGACTTCTGGGTACCAAGAATGAGTCCTCTGGGGCAGCTCACGTGGCCCTAAGGCATCTGGGATGGAAACATAAACGCGATCAGCAGGAGAACAGCTCCTTGTGGAAGGGAAATTCAGCACTGAGAACCCAGACTTAAGTGAATGAGTGAGGCATCCAATTCCCTGTAAAGAGAAGAGGCCCCAAACTTCCAGAATTTGGGACATCTCTACATGCCTGTCATTTTCCTCGTCTGCTTTACTGTTAAATACCTGGTGTGTACACAGTGGGCACTCAATAAGTATTTGTTGAATAAATGAACAAACACCAATGATCAGGATTTCTCTAAACTGAGCAAATAGACTTCAAAAGGGCTGTACCGGCCGGCCCTCTCCCCACTCCAGCCTGCCAGACTGAGGCCAAGAGATAAAAGAGTCTGACGCAGGCTGGAATCACAGTCACCAGAGACACACCTGCCGTCCACTGTCCCAGGGATCAGTAGCTATGGAAGATGGGTGTCCTCAGAGGTATGAGGAAAAGAGACTTCTGCTTAGCACAGGTGCTCCCCACTCCACCCCCCAGGCTCATGTCTCTCCCTTCCTGGGCTCCTCTCTTAGCATTCTTCCATTCAGACCCAGAAGCTTCCCAGGCTTCATATATATGTCCCTTCTCATCATCCCTCTCAAACCCCTTGATGATTTCTAACCATCTGGATCCAACCTCTCCTTTCCACAACTTCTCCCTGCACTAGGGCCACCCTGGAAGATGCCATGTACTTTCTGGCATCTGTCCTTCTGTACCTTAGGCTGGGCAGTCTTCTTCCTTCTCTTCTATCTCCCTCTCTCATCCCCACCCAGGGTTCTATCCATCCCTCAGGGCTTGGCTTAGTAGCAGCTCTTCTGAGCAGCTTACCTTGAACCCTATTCAAAATAATTTACAGAGTCCTCTGTGGGCCCTGGTGTTTTATTTACACTCATTTATAAGTCTGTTTGCTTGGCAGGTGAATATTAGTGCTTCTGTTTATCCGACTGGAGTATAGCCCCTGGAGGGTGGACCAGGCCTTAGCCACCTCTGCAGTAACCCGAGTGCCCAGCACAGACTCAACTAAATAAGTGTTCACCATATGGTTGTTGAATGATGAACAGACCTGACCATGAACATGCTTTAAGGATCTGGAGAGCTGACAACACAGGCTGCATGGCGGCCAAGCTGGGGATGGCATCTTTGCTTCTAAACCAGGTCTCCCGACAGCCAGTTCGGGAGTCTCCTGCCAGTTCTGGGGCCCACCCTTCCCAGTGAGGAGTGGCGGACAGCGAAGCAGGAAGTACAAACCCTCCGGCTGCCAAACCTCCTCCAGGCAGTAGCACACGCTGAACCAGGGCCACATCCCTCTTCACCATTTTTTACAGACCCAAATATCCAGGACAACCCCTGGCAGACAGGCAGCTGCTTATATTGATGAACTAATGCATCTTCCGAGGGTAATTCGATATCAAAATTACATTTACTGCCTGTTAAGAGCTGAATGTTCATAAATCGATTACAGGTTCTTCCAAATTCCCCAGCCTGGGATATTTTTAAATGCCCTGAATCAGAAAGATGGAATGGCTGGCTCCTTGTCATCAGAGTGGCAACATCCACCCTCAGTAGAGCCCCATGAAGCTTGCCTTGATCCAAAAAAGAGACGCAGGAACCCCAGGGCAAAAGAGCCTCTGGGCCAGCAGAGCAAAAGGGGGCCCTTAGGAGCTCAGACAGCAGCACACTACCACTCGGAGGGCTTGAGATGAAGGCGTGGCGGGCTGCGGCCGGGTGGCCTGGCTTCCCTCGCACCGCGTGGCAGTGCACCCCGTTGTGGCCTCTGGGCTGGGTCTCCCCCGCTGGGATGGCGAGGCCAGCTTAGATCTCTGAGGTCCTCTGGCAACTGCGTTCTCAGGTTCTGTCCAAAGGACAGAAGGTTCTACACACCTGCAACAATACACTTGATATGGAAATGGAAACTAGGAAAATGTTTGCAGCCACTATGATAGGAAAATTGAATCAATCGATTAATATGATAAATTCACCTAAATCCAACTAAAAAAATCTATATTCTAATAGATATACAAACTACTCAAACAGGTAAGGCACACAAGAGGAAACACCGTTATTAAACGCTTTGACAATTCTTCAACCCATGCTAATAACCACATGTATAGATAGGTAAATTAAAACAATTAGGTACCATCTGATGCTACTAAATCAGCAAAAATTTAAAAATTATAATCCAAATGCTGATGGGGGTATGATAAAATTAACATTCTCAAACAATTGTGGTAATAGGGATAAATATTTTAGAAAGCAATTTCTGTAATTCTTATTTTTTCTCTCCTCTGGTCCAGAGACTTAAATGCTTGGAATTTATACTAAGAAAATAATTCAAAATACTCAGAAACAATTATGTGAAGAAGAATGCTCACTGTAGCAGTTTTTCTAATCCTGATACATTGTGTGTAAAATCTAAATACAGTTAAAATGGCAAATAAATTCTAACAATTTGATGCAACAGTAATCAGTGTATATACAATAAGAAAACAATTAGAACATCAGTAACTATTCACTTTATAGTTAAGTAAACAAAATATTTTCCAGTCAACAAATAATTACTTAATCCTACTGCATGCTATCCTCTGTTCTGGGTTCCAAGACTACTGAAGTGAATGAACTTTAATTTTACTATAATTATGATTATGTATACACGTGAAAAAGGACCAGAAAAGAGCACAGAAGTGTGTTACAGGGCTGGCACAGAGGTAATTTCCCCTTTTCATTTTGTTCTTTACCGCAACAATGCAGTTTGCAATAAATAAAAATTCAGAGGAAAAAGGAAACAAGTATCTTGCAGCATTTCAAGTGGTCGGAAGGGTTGTATCCATTTATCAAAGCAGAACCCCCACCCAGCACAGGACATTCAAGACCAGACCCGATTATCGTGGCTATTTCTGGTCCAGCCTGAGGCCAGTGAGAAGCTCTCCCAGTGCCTTCCTAGCTAGAAAATTCTGGGAGTGCATGAGTCATTCTTTCCCAGAAGCCTCCTCTGTGGGCTCAGGAAGGAGGGGACAAAGTGAGAGAGAGGCACCTGGAGGGCACTGTGGGCTACAGCCCTGGGGTCCGATGCACTGCCATCTCATTCCACTGCCCCAGGCCCCTCAGCCCAGGCTCTCGGTCCTGCCGGGGGAAGGCAGGGATGCCAAGCCTGCTCACAGAACTGCCAGCAGGGCGCAGGGGCCGTTCATGCTCGGGGCCTCGGAAGCCCTCCCACTCGTTTCTCCAGGAAGGAAATGTATGTAATCACGGGCCCCTGAGCAGGACAGGGTGTCGGCCACTCTGAGCATTCCAGGATAACATGCTCAAGTGACTACCTGTGTTGGGCCAGCCAGAGGACACAGAGGACACAGATAGGGACTGACCTCACTGGCTCTGCTCAGGACCAGCCAGGTGCTGCCATGCAGGACCTCGGCCCAGTGGTATCGGATCTGAAGAGCCTTCCAGAGAATGCTGAAATCTACCATGTGAAATCTTCCAATTCTTCAACCTTGGCACCTAATTTAAATTTACTTCAAAACATGTCTTGGCCAAAGAAAACACATCTGTGCATTGCCCCAATCCATGTGCTTTGTTTTGCACACAACGCGGCTTCCAGATCCACTGTGGATCCAGATTCTGAGACTCAGGGTTTCAAGTCATGGCAGAATCTCTGCAATTCTAGAGTGTGGATATTAAAAATGCTCTTCTACAGACTGGAAGGAGGACAAACCTTCCTACAATTGCACCTCTACAATTTATTTCCTACACCTTATGGCACAAGTCTCTACTGACCAAATCAGGCTAAAATTCTAAGTCAACCTGTACCTTCCAATGGCTTTAACCATCTATTCAGTCAACAAATATTTATTGAGCCTCTGTGTGCATTGACTGCTGTGCAAGGAGCTGGAAATACAGCCATGAACACAGCCGTATGGAGCAGCTGGTCGTGCGTGCGTGCGTGCATGCGTGTGTGTGTGTGTGTTGGAGGACAGGGGAGGGAAAGAGACAGTTAATAAAATAAAAACCCAGAGATAGCCTCCAGGTGCTGTCCTGAGAGTGCTGGGAGGGGAGGCTTACTTGGACTGGGGGTCCGGGAGGCGGGTATCTGAGCTAAGACGGAAGATCAGCCAGAAGGACTTGAGGATCTGCCGAGCAGCGGAGAGTGCCCTGGGCACAGGGGCCCCAGCAGTGATGACTCTGGAAAGTTCGGACCCGGTAAGGCTGCTAAGGTGGAGAGCAGCAGCTCTCAGAGAGGGGTCGGCAGGTGGGTGGGCCGGCGGTGCAGGGCAGGGGGCTGACCTAGCACGGTGGGAGCCTGGCATGCATTCTGAGGACGCTGGGCGGCCACGGGAGGAACCGAGCACAGGCAGCCGTGGAGAACAGGAGGACGGCACAGGGACCAGGGTCACACATTCTGGTGGGAGGTTTCCTGACCCCCTGTGGTCACCTCCCTCCGCCGGGCCTTTTCCCGCCACAGCGGGACCAGCTTCAGAAGAAACGGAAGAAGATTGCCGTCTTGCGGCTGCTCAGCCACATCCCCGAGAGGCTTTGCTCAAACTCTGATTTCCCCAACATTTCTGGGCAACCAGGGGTAGGACTTTCCTAGCACGCTGGCCTTGAGCAATCAGATGAGGTTCCCTGGGGGAGAATCCAGAACTTTCTGTAACTCCGCCGCTGGCCAATAACCTCAAGCAGCTCTTTTACTCCCCAAGAACTATCAGACATGCTGCTCCTCCCACAGAAAGACAAGACTGCGGAACCTGGCTGGACCAGCCCACATACCACATGTGGGTTCATGTTCGCATGCGCCTAGCTTGCCTCCCATCTCACATCAGTAAATCAGGGTTGGAGAGGTGAAGCAGGGGGCCTGCCCACACCCACCTCGGAAATGACGGACCACAGAATCTCAACACAGGCCACCTGCAAAGCCTCAGCTCCTGACCACCACGTCGCCCCGCCAGCGACCTCCCCGATGCTCCCCGGAGGACCCATTTCTAGAAGTGGGGCTGGTGGGTG